CTTACATACATACATACGTACATACATGAGTACGTACATACATACATACGTACATACATACGTACATACATGCATACATACATACATACATACTTACGTACATACGTACATACATGCGTACATACATACATACATACATACATACGTACATACATACGTACATACATGCGTACGTACATACATACATACTTACGTACATACATACGTACATACATGCGTACGTACATACATATATACATACATACATACTTACGTACATACATACGTACATACATACATACGTACATACATACGTACATACATGCGTACGTACATACATACATACTTACGTACATACATACGTACATACATACGTACGTACATACATACGTACATACATGCGTACGTACATACATACATACTTACTTACATACACACATACGTACATACATACGTACAGACATGCGTACATACATGCGTACATACATGCGTACGTACATACATACGTACATACATACATACATACATACATACATACGTACATACATACGTACATACATGCGTACGTCCATACATACATACTTACGTACATACATACGTACATACATGCGTACGTACATACATACATACTTACGTACATACATACATACATACATACTTACGTACATACATACGTACATACATGCGTACGTACATACATACATACGTACATACATACTTACATACATACATACGTACAGACATGAGTACGTACATACATACATACGTACATACATACTTACGTACATACATATGTACATACATGCGTACGTACATACATACAAACATACGTACATACATACTTACGTACATACATACGTACATACATGCGTACGTACATACATACATACTTACGTACATACATACATACGTACATACATACGTACATACATACATACAATACATACATTACATACGATACATACGATACATAAGATACATACAGACATACATATATACATACATACATACATACATACATACATACATACATACGATATATACATACATACGATACATACATACATACATACGATACATACATACATACATACGTACATACATACATACGTACATACGTACATACATACATACATACGTACATACATACGTACATACATACATACGTACATACATGCGTACGTACATACATACATACTTACGTACATACATACATACGTACATACATACGTACATACATACATACGTACATACATACATACAATACATACATTACATACGATACATACGATACATAAGATACATACAGACATACATATATACATACATACATACATACATACATACGATATATACATACATACGATACATACATACATACATACGATACATACATACATACGTACATACATACATACGTACATACGTACATACATACATACGTACATACATACGTACATACATACATGAGTACACACATACGTACGTACGTACATACATACATACATACATACGTACATACGTACATATATACATACGTACATACATACGTACGTACATACATACATAAGTACATACATACATACATACATACGTACATACATACATACATACATATGTACGTACATACATACGTACGTACATGAATACATACTTACGTACATACATACGTACATACATGCGTACGTACGTACATGCATACGTACATACATGCGTACGTACATACATACGTACATACATGCGTACGTACATACATACATACATACGTACACACATACTTACGTACATACATACATACGTACATACATACTTACGTACATACATACATACATACATGCGTACGTACATACATACATACATACATACATACTTACGTACATACATACGTACATACATACTTACGTACATACATATGTACATACATGCGTACGTACATACATACATACTTACGTACATACATACATACATACGTACATACATACGTACATACATGCGTACGTACATACATACATACTTACGTACATACATACGTACATACATACATACGTACATACATACGTACATACATGCGTACGTACATACATACATACTTACGTACATACATACATACGTACATACATACGTACATGCATGCGTACGTACATAGATACATACTTACGTACATACATACGTAAATACATACATACGTACATACATACGTACATACATGCGTACGTACATACATACATACTTACGTACATACATACATACGTACATACATGCGTACGTACATACATACATACTTACGTACATACATACATGCGTACATACATACATACATACATGCGTACATACATACATACATACTTATGTACATACATACTTACGTACATACATACGTACATACATGCGTACGTACATACATACATACTTACGTACATACAAACATACGTATATACATACGTACATACATGCGTACGTACATACATACATACTTACGTACATATATACGTACATACATACGTACATACATACATAAGTACATACATGCGTACGTACATACATACGTACATACATGCGTACATACGTACATACATATATACATACGTACATACATACTTACGTACATACATACATACGTACATACATACGTACATACATACTTACGTACATACATACATACATACATGCGTACGTACATACATACATACATACGTACATACATACTTACGTACATACATACATACGTACATACATACATACATACATACTTACGTACATACATACATACATACATGCGTACGTACATACATACGTACATACATACTTACGTACATATATACGTACATACATACGTACATACTTACGTACATGCGTACGTACATACATGCGTACGTACATACGTACATACATACGTACATACATGCGTACATACATGCATACATACATACATACATGCATACATACATACATACATGCATACATACATGCATACATACATGCATACATACATGCATACATACATACATACATACATACATATGATACATACATACATACATACATACATACATACGATACATACGATACATACATACATACATACTTACGTACATACATACGTACATACATACATATGTACATACATACGTACATACATGCGTACGTACATACATATATACATACATACATACTTACGTACATACATACGTACATACATACATACGTACATACATGCGTACGTACATACATACCTACTTACGTACATACATGCGTACGTACATACATACATACGTACATACATACTTACATACATACATACGTACAGACATGAGTACGTACATACATACATACGTACATACATACTTACGTACATACATATGTACATACATGCGTACGTACATACATACAAACATACGTACATACATACTTACGTACATACATACGTACATACATGCGTACGTACATACATACATACTTACGTACATACATACATACGTACATACATACGTACATACATACATACGTACATACATACATACAATACATACATTACATACGATACATACGATACATAAGATACATACAGACATACATATATACATACATACATACATACATACATACATACATACATACGATACATACATACATACGATACATACATACATACATACGATACATACATACATACATACATACATACATACATACATACATACGTACATACATGCGTACGTACATACATACATACATACATACATACATACATACTTACGTACATACATATGTACATACATACGTACATACATACATACGTACATACATACGTACATACATGCGTACGTACATACATACATACTTACGTACATACATACGTACATACATACGTACGTACATACATACGTACGTACGTACATACATACATACATACATACATACGTACATACGAACATACATACATACGTACATACATACGTACATACATACATACATACATACTTACGTACATACATACGTACATACATGCGTACGTACATACATACATACATACGTACATACATGCGTACGTACATACATACGTACATACATGCGTATGTACATACATACATACATACGTACATACATACATACGTACATACATACGTACATACATGCGTACGTACATACATACATACTTACGTACATACATACGTGCATACATACATACGTACATACATACGTCCATACATGCGTACGTACATACATACATACTTACGTACATACATACATACGTACATACATACGTACATACATGCGTACGTACATATATACATACTTACGTACATACATACATACATACGTACATACATACGTACATACATGCGTACGTCCATACATACATACTTACGTACATACATACATACGTACATACATGCGTACGTACATACATACATACTTACGTACATACACACATACGTACATACATACGTACATACATGCGTACGTACATACATACATACTTACGTACATACATACATACGTACATACATACGTACATACATACATACATACATACATGCGTACGTACATACATACGTACATACATGCGTACGTACATACATACATACATACGTACATACATACTTACGTACATACATACATACGTACATACATACGTACATACATACTTAAGTACATACATACATACATACATGCGTACGTACATACATACATACATACGTACATACATACTTACGTACATACATACATACGTACATACATACATACATACTTACGTACATACATACATACATACATGCGTACGTACATACATACATGCGTACATACATACTTACGTACATACATACGTACATACATACGTACATACTTACGTACATGCGTACATACATACATACATACGATACATACGATACATACATACATACATACATACGATACATACATACATACATACATACATACATACGATACATACGATACATACATACATACATACTTACATACATACATATGTATAAACAAGAAACTGATTTTCCTACCATCAGTGTGGTCGTTTGGAGAGACACCTTCAGTCCATTCCACAGCGTAATTTTCAGTGGTTTTCTTTATCTTACATTTCACATTGACATAAAAGATGTCCTCAGAAGTTGTGCAACGAGGAAATCTTGGCTCTGCAGAAATTTCTATCTTGGGTAGGAGGCAGACATCCAATGGCGCACTGGCTTTGTTTTTTATTATTGTTTTGTTTATATGTTGTTCAAAGAGACATATGTACTCTCCTAGGTAAATAGGAGGAGGATTCAGACAGAGGCAGCATGTGTAAAAAATATCTCACAGGATTAGACAGGCATTATATAAAAAACATTAAATCAAGATTATTTCTAATGTCCTGCTTTTTTTGACAAGTAAAGCACTAACAAAGGCACAGTAGTTGCCTAAACAATGAGAATGACTTAGTCGCAAAACACAGATTAGCGTTAAGGGAACTTGTCTTCTTAGTTTAACTAAAATGGCAAACTATTACAGAGCATTGTTACAGTTCCTCAATGTAAATCTGAGATAATGGCAACTTTTGTTAATTACATAGTTTGTTTTAGAATTGATTTAAGTTTTCCGTAATGACAGGTTTCTTCAGTTTGCTAAAGTTTTGCTTTTTGCATGTTTATGTTTTTTGAGTAAAGGCTACTGGCCTGAGATGCACTTGCCAAGGGTCACAGGTCATTCCTCAGTTGGCCCGCTATCGGCCAGAGGAACTATGATGCACACTAGGCTAAGAGAGGCATTGGCAACCTAATACCAAGAAACTTAAGCAGACTCTGGAGGACAAGAAGAGGTAGAGCTATACCTGCTAGAAATAGTACGCCTCAATTATACACACAGGCTAGTTGCATCCACATGCTATTAGAAAGGAGAAAGAACACTGTCTGTTGTCTTGGCCTTTTGGCTGGGTTATAGAAACCAGCAGCCAGTCTGCTTAATGTTCTTGACTGGAGGGAGGAAACTGGACAGGGCCCTCTGCTGGGTGACTTCTGCACCCAAATGTAAAGCAACACTGTCATGATCTGTTGATCCAGATTTTTGGTTCCGTTCAAGTTTTCACTTTCGGTTTTTAGTTAAACTGTCAGAGTTCTGCCTTCTGTTTAAGTTTATTTTTAGTTTCTTTGTAATTCTGTGTCTTTGTGAGTTGCTCTCTGTTGCTTCCTTGTGCTTGTTTCTTGGCTTATACAAGGGCGCTCTGTGTATTTGTCAAAACTGAGACCAATTTAGCTTCACAGTGTTTGTCTATTATTTAATATCTTTATAAAACACATAAAGGTCAGTGCTCATAGTAAAGCCCCTGTCACACCTTGATGATTTAGAGCAGCGTATACCTGACGTACGGAAAATCTGGCAAAAACGCTGGCATACGTTGGATAAGGTATGGGTAGGTTTTGTATAAGTTATGAGCAGCAGTACGCTGAAACACACTGGCACACGTCAACATACGGCATGTACTTCAAGAGGTATGCCAGCATATGCTCATACGTGGTGTATAAGTTACACATAAGTTATCAGATCACTGACATACGTTATGTGTAAATTACTCATAAATCATGGCATCTAGCTTATCCAAATCCTATGAGTAACTTGTTCATAACTTATGTTTAACTTATCCAGAACTTCTCTCCAACGCATATCAATGTAATTGACGTGTTCCAGACGAGGGCTGAACATGTTTCTAACTTCCAGCTACTGTATAATGGCGTATTGGAAGCGTTTTGGTATAAAGGGGGTTCACAGGAGGACAGGGTCAGTTCTCCTCCGGACTTCATCCCCATCATAGAGTGAGTGTGAAGGTGAGTGTGATGGATCCTCCCTGCGTTCACGCCCATGACCAATAAACTTCCTAGCAGACATGACTCTGAATCTGCTGCGATTGCAAACCTTTCTTTCTTTTTGTTTTGTATTCTTTCTTTTTATGGCAGGCGGTAAACAGCAGCTAGGTTAATACCCCACTGAAAGACATCTTTTTATGCATGTTAGGTACCTCTGGGCGCATTGCTTACCCACTCAGGACACTGGCTTGTGACATTTCATGGGCATTACGCTGCCATGCGTTATGCATAAGTTGGCTGTCGTTAAACAGAAGTTCTGGACTCTTTATAACTAATCTATGTATATGCCCAAAATTGAAAAAATACATAGAAAGTTCAGCTTATGACAGTGTTTTATAAGATTCTGGGACATCAGGCATACTCTGGCTAAATCAGCAAGGTGTGACAGCGCTCTGAGGAAAAAGGCAATGTTTCTTCCCAAAGGGTTACTGGACCACTAACTGGGCAGAGATTCATGCATATTATGCTTAATTTATAACTGCAGCTTTAGGGATAAGACACACAGAGCTCCATTTTTGAAAAACGATACAAAAACACATTATTTTGATAAATCAAGTTAATATCTTTGCAAGCAAAAGATATGAAATGTTGTAACGTTAACAAACATACCTTCCCAGAGTTCATCTGTTGTTTTTAATTCAATGGAGCTGTGTTTTGCTTCTTTCGTCAACGTTGAGATTCTTCCATTAGTTATAAGAAACTCTTTACCGTCTCTTTTCAGATTCCAGTTTGGCTCAGCATTCAGGTCTTCCAATGTTGTACACTGGATTTTAGTGGTAGTGTTGTACTTTACTGGTTGACTTGGTAATATCAAATTGACGACACCTGAAAGGATGAGGGATTTAAAAACTTATACTTTCTAAGAATTTATAGTCTCAAAAAAGAAAGAAAAAACCCCCCAAACAAAACCATGATAAATTTGAACATATCTTTATACTGATATAAAAAATGTTGCTTTTAGATATGAAAAAAAAAGCTTCACTACAGAGGCAGCACAAGCATGATCCCACTATACTGGTTTAATGAATGAACCTTCGTATTTGACTTCATAATTTTCCTCACTTTTAGAGAACTTGGCTAGCCTGAATATGGTTCAGGTGGCTCAGCATGTTCTAATTTTTTCCTCCTTTAACCAAACCACAAAGAAGTGTAAAAGGATCCGAACATGAGATGGCAATAAAATCTGGGAAAAAAACTAATTATTTTAAAAATTCAAAAAAAAGACAGGATGGAAATTAGTCTGAGATGCTGCCAAGTAGCTGAAAGCAACATTAAAGAAATATCTCAATATGTTTGAAAAAAGACTGATTTCTCCCAATCAGTGTTTGCCACAATTCCAAAATATACAGTGGATAAAATAAGTATTTAAACTATCACCATTTTTCTCAGTAAACAAATTTCTAGAGGTGCTATTGACATGAAGTTTCCACCAGATGTTGGTAACAATCCAAGCAATCCACACATACAACGAAATCAAACCATAGATATCCAGAAATAAAGTTATGTGTAATAAAGTGCATTGAACACACTTACTGAAATTTATTCAATACTTTGGCAGCTTCAGGATACCTCCTGTATGGAGGAATGAGTTGCATGTATTACTCAGGTGTGATTTTGGCCCATTCTTCCACACAAGCTGTCTTTAGATCGTGAAGGTTTGGCGGGTCTTCTTCTATGAACTCTGATCTTTAGTTCTTTCCAACAACAACCAACGGATCCAACACCACTTAAACACACTTCTCAACTATAGCTGTACAGAATCTGTAAACTTTTATCTGCTCTTATCTGTCATTATTTATTACTACCCCACTAACATATATCTAATCCATATCCTACTTTCCTGTATAATCTGTATATAGGTTCCGTATTTATTTAATTTTTATAGCCTCTTACAATTACTCTCAGGTTATATATTCAATTTATGGTCCATGCATACATAGTCTCTCTACACATGTAAATAAATATGTATATCCTGTATACCACTTCAGGATAGATGCAAACTACATTTCATTGCTTTGTACTTGTGACAGTGTACAATAAAGTTAAATTCTATTCTATTTCCATAGTTTTTCTGTCATGATCTGCTCTGTTTGCTCTCCCTTAATGTTTTATTTCTTTCACCTGTCGTTTTCCCTCCCTGCCTTAATTATCATTTATTCCTCTCACCTGTTTCCTTTGGTTTATATTTTCTTCAGCCTGAGCATTCAGGACCAGATCATTATTTGCTTTTCTGTTAGATCCAGTTCTCTTTATTTGATTCCAAGGTTCTTGTCCTGGATCCTGGCGGCCAGTGAATAGAGGGTTTTGTGTCTGTCTCGTCTCCTGATCGTCCACTGTTCCTCCCCTGCTGAGCCCTCTGGGTTTTTGGCTCTGTACTCGGGGAGGTTCAGTTTTTATCCAAGTAAGCCTGGCTCCAAGCTGGAGACCAGTTTAAAGGTCCTGCATTCAGTTCTGGTTCCACGTCCTGTCTCGGCTACCATCTGCCACTGTGCCTGCCCATCTGCACCTGATTCTGTCTTCTCCTGTGTGTGGCCGCCCGGTCACGCTTCCAGACCCTGTCAGACTCTGAACCTGTCTGGGAGCTTGTTTTTGCCTGGAAGCCTGGATCCTGTCACCTGTCTGCTTCTGCCTGATCTGGATCCTGCCTTTTCTGTCTGTCTCTATCTGTTCTGAATCCCTGAACAGGATCTGCTTCCTGCAAGACCTCTTGGACTGCAGCACTGGGGACACTCTTGGACTGGACTGTTAAATCAGGTAAGTGACTAACTCAGATAATCATCTTCTGTCAGATGATTGTGGTCACTTACCTGTGTTTCTCCCACAACAGAGTGTCTATGATTGGGCGGTGCCCCGCCCCCTACCTGCAGTCGCCGCAGGCCACAGATCCTAGCAGCTCCCCTTTTAGTTTTGTTTTTCATTAAATACACGTTTTGAACTTGCCCGCTGACTGTCTCTATAGAAGCAAATTGTGTTGACTTATGTTATTGTGACCTTAAGCTCACTTGGTAACACAGAGTATCAAATCTTGGCAAAAACAGGGTCTTAAAGGCCGACTCGCACGCAATCGGGTCACAGGCCAAGAAGCTTCCAGGAAGTTCTTCAGAGCGTCCAGTCGTGCACGTGCATCCACACAGTGCAATGTTGAAACTATATAAACGCCCAGATTGGAATGAGAGTTAAGAAAAAGCCAGATATGTTCTGTTGGAATGTTCAGCGCTTGATACGTGGACAGCATGTCAATTTGACCTTTAAAATAAATGCTTCTTCTTCCGTCCTGGGGCAATCAGATGATCGACTGAAGGTGTCCTGATTTTTGTGATTCTACCATTGAAAGCCACCACATCTCCTTGAATACTGGGTCCATCTGTCCTCGTTTCATGACGTTTTCTATTGGATTTGAGTCAGATGATTGGCTGGGACATTCTAGCAGCTTGATTTTATTTGTCTCAAACCTATTGAGTTTCCTTAGCAATGTGTTTGGGGTCATTGTCTTGCTGAAATGTCCACCAACGTTTAATTTTTACCATCCTGGTAGCAGATTGGTTAGGCGGTGGCAAATTCTTATCACAAATGTTTCTAGACATTTTTCCATTCATCCTTCCGTCAGTTATTTGCTGTTTGCCAGTACCATATGCTGAAGAACAGCTCCATGCCATGATGTTCCCACCTCCAAACTTGATCCATATTATGGCATCTAAAGAGTTCAATTTTGGTCTCCCAGTATTTCACAGGCTTATCAAAATGTTGTGAAACAAACTTTAAACTAGCTTCAACATGCTTTTTCTTCAGCAGTGGAGTCTTGCATGATGAGCATGCATACAGGCCATGGCGATTGAGTGCATTACTTATTTTCTTTGAAACAATTGTACCTGCTAATTCCAGCTCTTTCTGAAGCTCTCCACAAGTGGTCTTTGGCTCTTGGACAACTCTTCTGATAAATCTTTTCACCCCTCTGTCAGAAAGGGAGCGTTGGCCTAGTGGTTAGAGCAGCGTGTCTGTGCTCTGAGAAGGTTGCAAGTACCTGTTTCAATCCCTACAACCTGCAATCCACACATAGAGCAAGACCCTTAACCCCACACTGCTCCCCGGGCACCACACAATGGCAGCCCAAGGGGACGGGTTAAATGCAGAAATAAATGTATCTAATGTAAGATCAATAAAGTTAAATTATAAATATTGTGAGGAGCACCTGGTCGTGGTCGGTTCGTGGTGAAATGATCTTTCCACTTCCGGATTAAAGCCCCAACAGTGCTCACCAGAACATTCACAACTTTAGAAACTCTTGTTAAACCAATGCTGGAGATCTTGAGAAAGCTCTTTACTTTCACCCATGACATGTTTCTTGTGTGATACCAGAGTCACCTTTTTATACGTCATCATGTGGGACTGAACTAGCTGATATTAATTTGCACTGACAAGAGGCAGGACTTAATCACTGAGAGATTTCAGCCACTGTCTTGGCTTTCCATTCCTTTTTGCGCCTCCCTTTCTTCACCTGTCTAATACATTTTCCTTGTGCCATTCCTCATTATTACACATAACTTAATTTCTGGACATCAATGGTTTGATTTCCTTGTATGTGTGGATTAGATTGTTACCGACATCTGGTGAAAATGCCATCTCAATAGCGCCTCTAGAAATATTTACACAGAGAAAAATGGTCAATACTTATTTCACCCACTGTACGTATGTCTTGCACACAAACTACCCTGTATTTTACCAAGTGAACATATGCAACCAAAGAGATGCAAAGTACTTACCTGTTGTCTCCAGTATCATTTCAGCAGACAGATTCTTAGACAGCATTTTGGATTGCTCAAACAAACGTTGCGAAACATTTCCGGAGACGATCTTCATTGCGAAATTGGTGACAATGCTTCCGATACTTCAGTGAAAAACAAATAGATTCCTTTGTAACATTTTCCAAACACATCCATGTACATATTCTGCTTATTACTGTACAAAAAAGTACCTGAAGCCTTCTATTTTCAGAGAGTCAAATCCTCTTATTTCACTGTAAAAAGCTTTCATCTAAAAATAAATGAACTGGATCAAGTCATGGCTTTCTAAAAGGTATAAAATGAAAACATTTCCTGTTAATTTTATTAGAATGTATTACCAATTCCAACAGGTCATCATGACATTTCCGATAACCTGGTGACGTCTTAGAGGTCAGACAGTCTTGATACGTGGAATCTTTCATTTTCAGTTGCCCTGTGATGCCAACTATTAAAACATAAATGTTAATGGTTGGTCAGTTTCTTTTCTTTGTTTTGGGAAAGCAAACAAAACAGCAAAAGTCCAACATGCCTGCAGAGCTTAAAATGCACATGTGAACCGATGTTACCGGGAGGACACAAGCATCCTGACCGCAGCAGTGCTCCTTCTGACAAGCTTCATCACTCCATCTGTGGCCTTCTCTGCACTTACACGATTTGTTGGAGGTGTCATTCTGCGTACTGCACTCTTATTAGGGGAGACAAAAACATAATAAAGTAAAATAAGAAAAGACAAGATGCAATAATTGAATAATTTGGATTAAATCAGACTTCAGAATCTATTTCTGTTTTACCTGTTGTAATTTTAACATCCTCAATGTTCAGCTTGTCATCACTCACTGAAAAGTTTAGTTTTCCAGTGATATATTTCAGGGCACTTTTGTCTATTGTCATTTTAGCATAATACATTTGGGTTGAGCGAGCTGAAACATACAGAAGAGACAGTGAAACCTTAGAAACACTATGATGCTTAAGGAAAAGGACCGACCCTGTCACACCTTGCATTTCTGTAGCATATGAGGAGCCACATCTCAAATGGAAACTGATATATCAGGATATGTTTTTGAGTTAAAGTAAAGCAAGATTTCACATTTTTTTGCACTAAATTACCTGGCAATTGATGCAAAATACTGTATATACCAAACACATGCAGCATGTGACGCCCTGATAACACTGCTTCTCTAATGTTAAAGGAATAGTACACCCAAAACATGATTAGCCTTCATTTTCTACTCACCCCCATGCTGAACAACACTCTGGAGTACTTTTTTGATATCTCAAATGCATCTGGAGATCTGGGAGGCTTCTTGCTGTCTGCTGACATTCAAATAATGGAGGTCTATGGTGCCCGAGGCAGAAAGGTCCATAAAAGTCCACAAAAAACGTGTCAATATTCCTCCATACTGCTCGTCCAATGTATTCCAAGTGTCCTGAGTGGGTAGCGTCCATAATTTACTCGAAACAAAGTCATTTAGAATGTTTTTAGAGCATAAACAGTAGTGTATAGGATTTCCTAAAAGCGCGTTCACGAGTCTACGGAAACCGCGGCAGACCAAACCAGATGAAAGTGCGCATTCAGCTCGGCAAAGAACTCATGCTCTTCCTCAACACTGAAGTCCTCAGACATTTTTCTTTCGTTGTTTCTTTCTTTGCACAGGTAAACAGCACATTTCTTCTTCTATGCTTGTATTATCGGCAGAGCAGACGCTGAATGCGCACTTTCATCTGGTTTGGTCTGCCGCGGTTTCCATAGAGTCGTGAACGCGCTTTCAGGAAATCCTATACACTACTGTTTATGCTCTAAAAACATTCTAAATGACTTCGTTTCGAGTAAATTATGGACGCTACCCACTCAGGACACTTGGAATACATTGGACGAGCAGTATGGAGGAATATTTACACGTTTTTTGTGGACTTTTATGGACCTTTCTGCCTCGGGCGCCATAGACCTCCATTATTTGAATGTCAGCAGACAGAAAGAAGCCTCCCAGATCTCCAGATGCTTTTGAGATATCAAAAAAGTACTCCAGAGTGTTGTTCAGCATGGGGGTGAGTAGAAAATGAAGGCTAATCATGTTTTGGGTGTACTATTCCTTTAAGCTACACAGTCTGCACTGATTTGAATTCACTCACCTCAGCACGCCAAATGCCTCATGTACCTGCAAAAGCACTGCGGCTGGACCTCCTGTCTGATTAATTCAACTACAAGCTATTTAACCGCCTGTTGGGCTGTCTATAGAGCGGAGGTCTTCAACAGGGGGTCCGCGGTGGTACTGCATGGGGGTCGTGAAAGTTTTAGTTGATTAGAATTTTGTTTATATTCCCCACTACAATTTTTTTTTTCCACTAATTGAAATATTGAAATGTCTTTAAATACACTTTAACGTGAATTCAACAGACTGTAGTAAACAGATAAATGGAGGCAGAAGATGTCTTTCAGTCATCAATGCTCACATTCAGCGACACACAGGAGCTCTTTCAAGCTGGGGACCGTTTCATTCACAACACCTGTCCCTTCAACCAGGAATCAGAAATACTTTAATAATCCCAGGGAGGGATTACTTTAGTTACATTACTCCATCTGTAATAGAGTGACTGTAGGACCAGTTTGATATAATACAATTTCATACAATATATATAATTAGGGGGTCCCTGCTCCATCTTGTCATCATTTTGGGGGTCCATGGCCTGGAAAACATTGAAGACCCCTGTTATAGAGAATAGAAATTTCCTCCTACGATGGTCTGGTGATGATTAAATGGGAAACAATACATTAAATAAAGTGAGGCCCTTATTCCTGCAATGTTTGTTCACCTTATTTCCTCTCATTTTATCCAAATTCACACACTAGACAGAAGGTGGACACAATGTAATGCTACTTTACATGCTGATTATTTAACACAGCAGCAAATGTAGAATGATGTGACAGTCGCATAAAAGGTTTCATCTTTACCTGCTTCTGCAGCCTGTAAAGAAAAAAAAAATATTAAAATGTATTCAGTTTTCAGTCTGATTTTTAGTACATTTTAATAGACGATGACAAACCTGATTGATGCTTAGAGTCACCATTATGAGAAACATGAAGATCCGCATTTTGCTCCTGCAATAAAGCAGTAAAAACGAGAATTTCAAAGTTTGAATCGAATCACTACATTGATAAAAAAAAATTTAAATAAAAAAAAAAAACAAGCACTAGCCTTCCAGTGTTCTGATACTAGTTTAAGCAGGTATAGCAAACACATGGACTATATTGTAGCAGTGTACTGATCTGTTGGCCTTGAGGATAGATTAGATAATTTATTGCATGTTAGGCTCAGAATTAAAGGTGGTGTTTGGAAAAAGGGGTTTACCTTTTTTTTCTGTAGAAACAGAGCGATGAATCTATTGGGACTAAAAAAACCTCTGACTTGGAATCTTCTTGTTAATTGTAGAACTGCAAGCACTTCACTACAATCTTAGATAAGTGGAAGACGATGTCATCTTTAAACCCTGCTCTATATATGCAGCCAGATAGTAGAATTTTTTGTTCAATCATTGAACACAGTAGGAACGCCACATAGATCGCATACAAAACTGAAACATGCTTTTAAAAATCTAATTTCAAATAGGCTTTAAAGCGTTATTTTGTGCCAAACAGTTAAAGTGATGCATTTGTAATAAATATGTTTTTACATGTTTGGCTTATTTTTTTTTTTTTAAATAAAAAACTTGCTGAAGATTAAACTAAAAAAGGAGTTGATTCCAAACTATTTATTTATTTTACAGCACTGGTGGCTTGTTTTTCTGACAGGAAAACAGGGTATGAGAGGGGGGGGGGGACATGTGGCAAAGGACCACAGGCCAGATTTGAACCCGGGTCGGCTGCGTCAAAGACTAAGGCCTCCATATATGGGTCCTGCGCTCTAACTGCTGACTTGATAGCCTTTAAATCACACAATGGTAAATATCTCATTCCTAAAAAACCCAACACCTGAGCATACACAACATATGTATAAACTAAAGCTTATGGGTTTTCTGTTCTACAGAAATTATTCTAGAAGGTGTTTCTGATCCATGAACATTTGTTAAAGCAGAAAAAAGCAAACTCAACATCTAAACTCTTTTAAGGCAATTACAGTACAGAGATATTGTTTGCCATATAATTTAGTGCTGTAATTCCTTTAGTTTCTAAGGTCAAAAGTTGACATTTAAATGTAACACATCACACACGATTAGATCCACTTTTCCTATAAGGCTTATTAAAACCAATTTCAGTGCATAGCATAATCTACACTGTGCTGCTAGTGGAGATTTTTACACACAATTGCAGGGAGTAAGAACATTAGATAGGATATATATGAAAATATCCTGCAAAAATGCTTTTTTTTTTGAATTTCCAACAAAATAAAAGCCATATGTAAAATACTTTAAGAAGGTTTCTATACAAGTGTGGCATTCATGCTGGTAATAGCTGAATAAACGGTGGATGAACTCATAGAAAACAAATTTAAAAAGACAAGTCCCTCCCTCCTGGAGTACCCAGAGAGAACCCACGCATGCACAGGGAGAACATGCAAACTCCATGCAGAAAGACTCTGGGCCGGGAATCAAACCCAGAACCTTCTTGCTGCAAGGCAGCAGTGCTACCCACCGCATCAGAGCAGCCCATTTTTTAGTTGATTTTATTTTATTTTTTTACCGATCACTTCTATAGTTACAAACTGGCCTGTTTGCGTATGCAGTTCCTGGTCAAACTATTCGGCCCCCTTGAACTTTTTGCCACATTTCAGGCCTCAAACATAAAGATATAGAAACGGACTTCTTTGTGGAGAACCAAATAGTGGGACACAATCATGAAGTGGAACAAAATGTATGTGATATTTTTAACTTTTTTAGAAATACACTGAAACATCTGGCATGCAGAATGATTCCACCCGCTATTGCTGCTGTCTCTATCAGTTTTGCACATTGAGAGACTGACTTTTTTGCCCATTCTTCCTGCAAAACAGCTGGAGCTCCATGAGGATACATTTATTTGTGAACCATTCCATAGTACATTTGGATCATTGTCTTGTTGGAAGATAATTCTCCACTCCAGTCTCAGGTCTTTTGCAGACCCCAACAGGTTTTCTTCTAGAATGCTTCTGTCTTTGGCTCCGTCCATCTTCCCATCAATTTTAATCACCTCCCATGTTTCTGCTGAAGAAAAGCAGGCCCAGACCATGATGCTGCCACCACCATGTTAGACAGTGGGTATGGTGTGTTCAGGGTGATGAACTGTGTTGCTTTTACACCAAACCTAATGTTTTGTATTATTTTTCATTTTTCCATCTACACTGGCCTACTTATGGTCCCCCCGCCCCGAAGCACAGTCCAATGCATGCGTCTCAAATGTGAAACAAAATACGAATACGCATTGTGGATTAACCGATCTATCTTCCAGAATCATTGTTCTTCATGAAGCTCTCTGTGCTTTAAACAGACCTTCTTCTTTTGTGATGTTTAATGGTGGTTGGCAAACAATTTAAAAGTGCATTACTGCCACCTACTGTTATGGATTGTGGAAAAAAATGACTGTATACATACAATAAATGTATTTACTTTACTTTACATCTATAATATAACCAATTGTCTAATATAATTACTATTTATTATTAACTATATATTTTATGTTCCGGATGCTCTTGTTCTTCCCTCTATCTCCAACCTATGTTCCTAACTTCTTTGACTCCTAAAACCTTTTCAGCTCCTCTGGAAATTTTTCTCTGTCTCATGTTTGCCTTGGTCTGTTCAGTTGATGACAGACGCCATGAATAAAATGAGTTTCTCTATTGTCGGAGTAATATGAGCCAATAATGGCTTTTCAACAAAATATTAACATGCTGTTTGTCCAGGGGGTCAAACACTTGTTTTTCCTCATCAGATGGTTTCAATTTTAATAAATTCATATGATGTGAATTTCTGGAATTTTCTTTGGGATTCTGTCTTTCACTGTTAGAATGTACATATGATTAAAATGATAGATTGTTGCATTCTTTGTAAGTTGGTAAACCTGCAAAATGAGCAAGGGGTCAAATACTTATTTCTCCCACTGTACCTTAATCTGAGCTTGATTAATTTCTCCTGTCCTTTGTCCTCAAACTTTCTTCACCGCTTCTGCGTAGCTTATAATTTTTGTTGTCTCAACCTGTTTTATTTCCACTGCTTTCCACAGTTGCAGCACCTTTCTTCAGTTTCTTCCGTGCACTTTTCAATTCTGTGTTCACTGCATTTTGAACTCTTCGCTTTCCCCTGCAAACTACTGCCACGTGTCCGTAACGTTGAGACCTGTAGCACCTGAGTGGAGGCGGAATGAACAGCCTAAATGGGAAACTCGTAAAACCTGTTTTAATTATTTCTAGTAGAACCGAGAACTCCATCAGCAGTGACATGCTGTCACCCTTTCCCACTGTATGTTGTTCTAAAGTCTCTTTATCTTGTTGACCTGGCCTATAATAATGTAATTTTTCCAATCGATCTAAATCCTCATTAAGTGGTACTCCTGTTATCACTCCTTTCCCTGTTTTATTCTCTCCTACGACTTTTATATCGATGACCTCTCACTTTCCTAGGTGTTCAACATCCAACGCTTTCATTTTTTTGCTAATTTTTACAAATTATCAGCAGGTTTCCATCTCTCAATTCCTTCACTAATTCGACTTCCCCAATTTTCTTTCCTATTTCCCCGAAAAATCCCAATGGGGCTCAGATGACTGTTTATCTTCAGATGACTGTATATCTTATTTTTATCTCTTCTCTGACAACCTTCCTTTGCACAACTCTTTCTTCTTCATAACCGCTTTCTTCTGATTCCCGTTTATTTCGCTTCTCAAAGCTCCATTTTCCTCTTTTACCTGCTTTATCTCTGTTTTTCCCAATTGAAACTGTTGTCCAGCCTCGCCCCTTCCAAATGCACTGAGACCTCCACCACCTCTGGGACCATCACAGAGCAGGTGCATTTATACGGGGACTTGATTACACACGTGGATTCTATTCATCATCATCAGTCATTAACATTGGATCATTCAGAGATCCTTACTGGACTTCTGGAGAGAGATTGCTGCACTGAAAGTAAAGGGGCCGATTAATTTTGCACACTCTTCAGTTTTTTTTTAAAAACAGTGTAAATTCGGGCGTGCAGGTGAAGCAGTGGTTAGCGTGCACGACCCATGTATGGCGGCCTTATTCCTCGACACGGCCAACCTGGGTTCGAAACTGACCTGTGGTCCTTAGCTGCATGGCTCTCCCCCTTTCCTGTCAGCCTACTGTCAAAAAAACAAGCCACTGGTGCCGCAAAAACTCCAACAAAATCCATTTTAAAAAAGTGTAAAATATCCAATAAATTTCATTCTCTGTCATGATGGTGTCCTGCTAGTTGTTGTTTCTTCACAAAGAATTAAATTTTACATCTTTACGTTTAAAGCCTGAAATGTGGCAAAAGGTCAAAAAGTTTAAGGGATCGAATACCTTCCCTGTTTTAGGAGTCCTGGATGAAACCTCTACATTTAGATCACAACAATGGAAAACATACATAGATAAAATTATTGACTTGAATCGAGTATTGATTAAAGTTCTGGGCTTCTCTAATAAAAGCTGTAAATAAATGACATTAAATTTTTCTATATATGTTCTTCCTGTTAGACTAAAAATCCTATTTAAAATAACCGCAGTGGGTTCAACTTGATTCAAAACAGCAGATTTTTGATAGTAGCAGCTGTAAGAGGTTTTTTTCTTCGAAGAATCCCCAAAACCCACATCATTAATACATCAAAACGACTTTTCTAAAACTTCTGTTTTCATTATTTTCATCTGTAAAGTAATAAAATGTGAAGATAACCCTTGAGAAAATGCATAATTCCGGCATTACTCACCTATTTTTCATCTTTGTTGAGGCACATTAGTCAACAGCAGCAAACTTGCCAAAAGACGGCCGTCCAACAAGCAAGCCAGTTTTCCCATCAGTTTTATTGCTCACATGCAAAGTGGAATGGCTCCAATTTGGCAGCCAAATCAGATGACCGTCCACTCTTGGCGTTATCTCCTCATCTTGATGGAACTCGAACTGTTATGGAACAAAGTTTTTGCAATTCCATGTGCTTTTTATTCAAAAATAAAAATAATACTCCTCTTATTAATACTTTTCTTTTATGTTCAAATATGATGTATAGGTGATATAACGCTTAGATTAAAATATCTTAGACTTTAAACACATTAAAACCTAAAATAAAGATTATTTTGTGTTGAAACAAAACTTACTTTGTTCTTTTTCTTTCAAATATATGATTCCTGACGTCTGTCTCGTCAGTACTGCCGACAAATTATTTTATGACTAACTTTATACATGAAAACTAAATAATATTAAAGCATAATAAAATCAGTAGATTACACATAAATGATTCACAAGTTAACTTATTTGCAAATGTTAATTTTTCAAAAATCACATCTTAATTACTTTACATGTAGGATAAAACCTGTTGATACTTCCCGGTAAAGGCAGGTTAGGCTCTGTCTTTCAGAGAAAAGATATACTGTATATATAAAAATAAAAAAAAAGCAGCAGAAAATCAAAGCAAAACTTTAAAAATGCAATAAATATATAAGTCATTCACCCCTGTATCTTTGCTCCTTTTTTTTGCAATTAGGCAAGAAAAAAATTCTCTATATATTTATCCTTTCCAACTAGATATACATGCAGTTGACATACATAAAAACAAAGTGATGATCATTTAGCTTAGCTTTAAGTAATAATCTGCAAAATCACCTTCAGAAGAAGCTTTGGATCAGTGTTTAAAAAGTGCACATCTGCGCTTAGATTGACTTTTTCTATCATATCTTATTTTACCTCTTTTTAACAGTATTATTTTAGTATTTTCCACTGAGTCTGTTCATTTATGATCTCTAAACTTCCTGATTCAGCTGCTGACCTTATCTGCCCCCGTCCTAAAGCTCCCAGGAGGGAAAGTCCTTAAAAAGCAATAATATCGCGGTTGTCATATCTAATCTGCTGCGTGTTCATAATGGAGGTTTTAGGAAAATTGCTGAAAGGTTAATGTTTTACAACAATTTATTGTTGTACATGTGAGTCATAATCGCAACATTTCTTCCATCAATTAAAATAATCCGCTGATTTCTTTATTTTATAGTTCAAACATTTATTTCTTTTTCAGCCAGAGAAGAGCCATTTTTGATTGCCTCCAGTGGTTCTATTGCATGGATCAGTTATAAGTGTCACTTTTTTGCAATAACATCATTAAAAGAATCGATTAAGGTTCCAATTATTATTGAAAGTATAGAGATTACTTTGTGATTGAAACCCAGTATAATATCCATGTTTGGTTCCAGTAGCTCCAGGTTTTTGTGAGGATCCACCAGCAGGTCATTGATCAGTTAATCATCAGTTCAATTATCCGTTTTTATCACTTTAACTGAAACAAGCTGATATTTTAGGCTATAAATCAAATAGCTCGTTTCAGTTTTAAGTAATGATCTCAAGACAGTTTTTTTTTTTTTACAATATGTTTGAATTTTTGGTTAAATTACACATTTAGTCTTTAACTTTTAAGCAAATCAACTCCTCCCAGAGAGGTGATAAAAGGTCTATGTAGTCTCTGTTTTGTTCTTTTACCCAACCAGTGTGCAACAGAAGTGATTTTGCATAATAGAGCCGTTCCTTTTACACAGGAAACATCTTTAACAAAGACGCCATTCATTCTACACACATTCAAGTTTTAGAACAGAGCAGAACAGCTAACTGCACCCAAATAAATGAGAATGTTCCACAGTTATGTTGAATATTCTATTAAATTATTAAACATTTGGACTCAGAACAGATTTAAGGCCATCTTGGAGGAGATTGTTTACGTTTAGCCCAAAGTCACACCGGTTCTGTTCATGAAATATGTAAAGAGCCACAGTATAACAAAATTAACCCGGTGTACATAACAGCTTGTGTAACAGTTTAATCAAGTTTAATTATGTAAAAATATCGGAACTTCACTCGAATCCTTTCTGAGGCCAATTCAATTATTATTTCCAGGACTGCCTTACCTTTCCTGGGCAGTTGTTGCCTTTGCTTCCAGTCATTCTTCTTTCTTAAGCTGCAATACTTGACTTTGGTAGGAAAAACATAAATTTAAAGTGTATTATAAGCGTTAACAAGTTTTATACTTCAGCTTACTGAGCTTTCCTGTGTACTTTGCTTAATCACTGTATACAGCGCAAATTATATATTCTTTTCACTTGGTTTTATGTTTGTTATCAAGGAAAGAGCCTATGTGACCTTGTGAAAAATTTAATTTGCTTCATGGAATATATTATGTATCTTTGCATAACAAATACTCTCCTATAGAGTGCAGCTGTAAGAAAATGTCAAAAATTTACAGTAAAGTAAATTAATGTCAACTCCTCGTCTTTGCTGCTCCACAAAAATCCGATTAGAAAAAGAGCAAGTTTAGAAGTAAATATAAAGAATAACACGGTTTTTATTACAAATGTTTAATAGTTCGTAGAAAAAAAAAAGGTTCAAATGTGTTAAAAATGTGTTACAGTCATTGTTTAATAAAACAGTTTTTAAAGCAAAGGGAGGCGAGGCACAGAACCCTCCACACAGCTTTAGTGGAGAAACACTAATTATTTGTCCAAGGCACATTAATACATATTCTTCAACTTATCTGAACTTTGTAGCATTTCTTGGTGATCAATCCTCAATTTCTAAAAATGTGGATCCAGCTAAAAAAGCTGAACTGATGTCTAAACAATACCCGACAAGATACAGATGTTCATAAAGAGGGAAATCATACTAAAAAAAACATACATTAAATTTACTCTAAAAGCCAGTATATATCGTAAAGGTATAGTGGAGGATTTTTGCAGATTTTTATAAAGACTCGCCCTCTCCTCTTTAAAAAAAAACCCTGGTTGTGCCCATGCACAACCCTGTAACTGCTCTCGCACACAATTCATGCATACGCCTAGTAAACGTGTGCGAGAGCACATTTCTCCTCGTGCACGCTCTGTTTAAAGGCACACTATGCAACATTTTTCAGTTAATTAATGTGTTCCATAACGTTATGGATGATTAAATGAGTCATTTCAGGTTGAACAAAGGTTTTCTCGGCCGCCCTGGTGGTCTGTGGGGGAAATACCGCACTTGCAACTGCAGGAGCACCGACCCGCACCCACAGGCTCAGAAGTCTCGTGAGAGTCAGTCTTGCTTTACGGCGAGAACTGCTACGCCCCCCAGTTAAAAGCATGCTCGTTGCTAGCACAGTGGTAATCTTTGTGCAGTTATGCTACGTTCACGCAGCAAAAGCAGCAAAATCGCGTCTGCTGCTTCATTTTTGCTGCTTGTACCAGTTAGTTCTGACGCGCGGCTGAAGCAGCTTTGCTGCTCTGCCTGCGCGGTCCAAAAGTGGCTCTGACGCGCGTTGGGCGGAGCTTCACTATCCTTTCTCTGCCTTGCAGCTATATTTGCTGTGATCAGTGGGAATAAAGTAGTTTTAATATGTTTTTAAGTGAGAAGATGCACCTGAAAACGTAATCAGTGCCGTCAGTTCATTCAGATTATTATCCTGCCTTCAATATTTTTTCTGTCGGAGCCGCTCAGACCCCCACATACCAGCGGCGCGCCGACAGTTGGAATCCCTTCGTCAGCAGCCTCTGGCCGGGTCGCCTGGTAGGTGTTTTTCATCTAAATAATCTAAACTGTTATCTGTAATCTGTAATCTAAACGATCACAGCGCTCTGTGTCATCAGCGCTGTGTCTCTCTCCCTGCCAGCTCCCAGATCAGCTTCTCTGATTGGTTGACACGGCGCGTCGAGCAGCAAAAATTAAATTTTTCCATCTGGAGCAGCAGTGCGTTTGCGGCGTTACGCGCGTCAGATGCTTAAACGCGCCTGACGCGCTGCTTCAGCTGCTCAGACGCGCTGCGGGACCTTTTGCTGCGCCTTGATGCGCGTCAACCATTGACTATGCATGTAAACTCACTGCTTCTGTCGCGCCAGCTGCGGTGTGAACGCAGCATTAGTCATTCGTTGCGTTCGCCTGTCTGCTAAGCTCAAAACAACCGCGCCTGGCTTGACGGAGAAACCAGGAGAACAGCTGTGCATATTTATGATAGTGCACTTTTACCTTCGCCCTCTGAGGGGAGCCTCGCTGGAAAATCAACACCGGTTACATAGTATACCTTTAAAAGTTGCTTTTTGCATCGCTCATACAACCTTACATTCCAAAAAAAGATTTGCCATTTTTCCACTATGCCAGACTCATCACCGGTAAGGGAAAATGGGGACGAGCATGTCGGACGGCCTTACGTAAACATATCACCAGAATGATTGACAATTAGTAGAACCACTTATTTTGATGATCAACCCCAAAAAAGAACATCCTCCACTTTACCTTTAACCTCGAGGGTTTAATGTGTTCCAGTTTTTAAAAAGTACGACTATGACTGCTCAGTCTCCTTACAGACTCCCTCTGCAGGGAGACGGTTTCATTTTGCAACATTGCCGGGATGCTAGTTGCTTTCAGATGCCCTAAACCTGGAGGTTACAGGTCTAGCTCCCCTAGTGGCTAAAAATGAAGTGTTTTTTTTTTTTTTTTCATTTTTTATCTAAATATAATTTTTAAATGGTACTAATAGATTTATAGAAAAAAAACAGGGTCTTAGGGTTCCCTTGATCCCATGTGTTGACAGATGACAACAACAAGGGAAATGATGTGTTTAAATAGTGATCAATATGAACACTATTTAAACTGTTTCAATTTGTTATATTTGGTTCATATTGACCGCTGAAAGGCTAAATTTTTAACACTTTTGACTTTCTTTCATTTTTATTCATCTCCATCAGGTTTTCTTTATGTTTGAGATTAATTCAAAACAATAAGCCGATTTGTCGATCGTTGGTCTGAGGTTATTTTTCTCCCCTCAGTCATAAAATGTGTCAAAACTAAAAACTCCCTCAAGTTTTAGTTGATAAACACGTTCACTAAAAGCTTTGTTTTACTAGGTTAGACAATTATGCTCTAATGCATAAATAGAAACAATTAATTCTCTGACTGATTAAAAGCTACTACCTCTATAGAGGAGCCTCCAGCACATTTTTCTCTTACAGTCATTAGAAAGCAAAATTATTCTAAGTAAAACTGGTATTTAGATCAGTTTCCAAAGAAAACCTGAAATATCGACCAGGAAAAGCCTGATCGGTGCATCTATGATGTAGTGCTTCTCAATACTCAAGTACATAAAATAAATGGCTCAAAATTAAGGACTTGTTCTTCGTCTCATTAATCTTTCATTTTAGGTAACAGCATAGTGCACTTTACACTTCTAAAGACCAATGATTCAAACATTCAAGCAGCAGACTGAAACGGAAACAGAACATTAAGTTCTGCAGAAAGTTCGCTGAGTTTCCTGCAAATCACAGAAATCAGTCAGGAGCTGCTGCAGCTCTAAAGTGCAAACCTGAACAGCACCTCTCATCCTGGAACTACATGAGAAATGCAAATCCAAGCAGAGTTTTAGGTTTCAGTCCAAGTGCTTTGAGTTTCAGTGGGTGGGGGGGGGGGGGGGGGGGGGGGGCACAGCCTCCTGTGGGAGATCAGGTCGACGTTACACGGCTGTTTCATACTCAATGACCGGGGAGTCGGTCTCTGAAAGGAACCCCTGAGTCTGCTCCTGAGATGGCATGTGTCCCATAGAGGCGGCGCCATTTCTTTCTTTGCTTGAATGAAGCCTTTGTGGAGTTGGAGTCTAAGAGAACAATAAATAGACATTAATACAGAGAAAAAATGGATCTGATCTCAGATCTTCACACGGCTCATATTTCACCAATCAAACAGTGGTCCTACACAGAAATTATTTCTTGCTTGTATAAAAACGGTTCATGTCAGGAAATTCAGTTTACCAACATTCTGTTAAAGAATTATAGTTTAAGGTTTCTGCTTCAGAATCATTCTGAGGTTTAGACGCTTGTAGCTTCATCCGCTGCCTTTTCTCTCTAAAGTGTCCTCTCACAGCATTTCTAGTGGAATCTGGATCCCTACGTCTGATAGGGACAGTTTGCACCATTTAAAGGATAACTTAGCTATTAGCGTGACCCCTTTAATCAATCAATACTTTATGATGATTTTACATTTGACTACAAGATAATTTGGCATCTAAATTCAGCTGGTTCTCCTCCTGCAGCAGTGGGTCACAGATAATTTTGATTTATGCCCAGTATTGAAACGTGGTCTGCGCCATGTTATTCCACGCCACAACCCCAGCGGGCCAATCAGGAACTAGCTGTGGGTCTAGTTATGGCCGAGGAGGCGGTGAGGAGCTGGGGGCAGGTTTGTGCGACAACGGAAGGACATGAAGGAGAAAAAGAGCGGGGATCCAGGAAGAAAAAGGGTCCCAGCGTCTCGCGCACCTCGCTCTTCTAGCTGCTCCATCTTCACGAGTCGTTTTCCACAATGGCGGTCAGACAAACAAAACAAGCCGGTACCAAACAGGAAATACGCATAGTGTGGAGTGGATGTAGATTTGACCAATCAGAGGCCTCCTGTCTGCGGTCACCTGCAATTTTGGAGAGGTGCAGCAGAGTGTCTGCGGCAGGGGCGGGGCACATTTAAATCACTGTGACAAACATGAAGACGACCTGGTTTCTGAGTATTAACCAGCCTTAAAGAGGTCATATCTAACCCAAATCATGATCCACCCCCCACTGTACCTGACAGCTGGTCTGAGGTGTTTTTTTTATTTGCATATTGCTGTGCATCATGGTCAGAAGTCTGCACCAACATTTCCAACATAAAAGGACTTTATGAGCTCTTTAATCAAATGTTCTGCATCTTTTCTAGCTCAACTTTTTAATAGCACTAACACTATATTTATCATCTAACATGCCGGGTGATATTAAAAGGCTTGTGGGTCTTGCTCAGAGAACCAGAGTGGCAGTCTGTGGGTTTCAGACTCACAACTTCAGGATTCCAAGCCCTATGCCCTAACCACTTAGCCTCGTGAGACCATCCTGATCTCGCGAGCTTTCAAGGTTTCACTCACAGATCAGTATGGAGACTCTCCGTTAAAGAAAATTTGGAGCCGTTCACCAAACGAACGTCCAATCAGCGTTGGCTTTGAGGTTTGACGCAACGAGAAGCGCGACAGTTCAGTCTAAAGAACATGGCGGCTTCAGCCGATGAAACTAGCGTTAGCGTGGCTATCGAGCAAGTTTTATGGGAATTACAGAGTATTTCTTCACTGAAAGAAGAGCAAAACACTGCTCTGGAGGCTTTTCTCAGAGGAAAAGATGTTTTTGCTCTTCTCCCGACTGGTTTCAGCAAGAGTAGCCTGGCTTGTGGTTGTGTTTTCGTCGTTGCTCTGTTAGTACGTCATATGCTTCGTTGATCTGATTGGTTTAAATGGCCCGTCTATCACCAACATAGGCCAATCAGCTAACCAGTATTTTTGCCCCTTCCCAAAATTACTTCAACGGAAGGTTTCCAGATGGATATGCGGAGCAAATCCATCTGGTGGAGTCAGGTTAATAACCACTAGGCCGGCCACTCCCATTTATTAGCTCCTGAGTAAAGTGCGACCACCGAAGGTTTAACAAAAAACTCACATTTCAATGAAATGAAAAACGAGTATTTAAATAATAATATATTATTATTTAGTGTGAATATGGCCACACGGGAGAAATTATAAATCATGGTAATGAAATGCTTTAAAAGTAAAAGAGAAAAAGCCAATTTTCTTGATGTGCTGTTTGAAGATTGATCAAAGAGGGTGACATTGTAAGAAAGTCAGACACAGGGTTTGCATTTATGTAACATTGTCTGCACACGTATAGCACTGAAATCTTCATGTGCTTATGTCTTCACACAGATAGAAGTGATGAAATGTCTGTGAAACCCTTTCTCAGGCATTTTATCATCAATCCGAACAGGTTTAGCACATTATTTGACTTTTTTCGTCATCTTCAACCTTTTAAAAACCGCCTTCTTTGTCTGATTTTCAATTCAGTTTATTTCTATAGCGCCAATTCACATCATGTCACCTCAGGTCACTTTACAATTCAACCAGATCATCCAGTCAAATTGAGTCAAAGTTTTCCATCTAAGGAAAACCAGCTGATTGCATCGACTCATTGACTAGAAGGGAAAAAAAAACAAAAAACAAAATACAGCTCAGAAAAAGCACTGGAGCTTATTAAAGCAGCAGTTTCACTTCTTTTTTTTAAAATAGATTTTTTGTGTTATTTTAGGTTTATAAATGTTACATTTTGTTATATACATTCATTCTGAAAAAATGGGAAAATACTTGCTTTATAAATGTTTTGTGGCCATCAATATGCTTTAATGTTACTCTATGGGTCAAATAAATAAGTAAAAGCATTATGCATTGGCACAATTAAAGAGATTAGAAGTTCAAAACCCTACAGCTCTGGAACTGTTATAGCTAGAGGTCTGAAATGTCCTGAATTTGTGGTTGACAAAAATACCTATTATTTTTGATAATAAAAAAAACAACTTTGATTCATCTTTGAACTGATGCAGCCTGGGCTGTGTTTCATCCAATTTTCATTTATAATTCAGAAGCTAGAAGGTGTTAGCTTTCAATCATACATGTAATTCGGGCTTACAGTTCCTAAGTTATTTGCTTTTCCATTTGGGTATGCAAAATAGGCGAGGATTACTTCCAAATGAGGGGGATGTTAAGAGGTTTTAACTATAAAGTCCACTATATAGTGATTGAGGGATTTAGGGCGGAAGTTCGGACACAGCCACAGTCTATCTTTATTTAACCTTTTGTCTGTGGGTTGTTTATTTGAAACTCACTTTGCTTTGATTGTAAAGCATTACCTGTCTTAGGAATAGAGCTGGGCAATTAATTCCATTTGCAAAATAATCGCAATTTCTAAAAAAGCAATTGTCAAATCGCAGAGGCATTACATTTTTATTCACAGTAAATTTAACAAGAGTAAGAAACTAATTTCTCCCTCCAGCCCTTTAGGTGGCAGTAATAAATCAAAGTAGCTATGCAGTCGCACAGAAAGGAACAGAGAGTTGCAGCTAACGCCTAGATTAATGCATTATGGTACAATTAAGAACTTTTTCATGCAAATCTTACAGTAAAGTCCTGCAACTAGGGCTGCAACTAACGATTATTTTAAAAATCGATGAATCGGCCGATTATTTTTTCGATGAATCGGACAATAAAATATTTTTTATATTAACCTCTTTATTCCAAAATAAACATTTTAGACAGAACAAACAAGCACACAAGTACAGGTTGCTCATTAACTGTACTGGTGCAATATGAAAAATAAATGTTTGTGATAAAACTACGCAAACTTACATGAGAAATGTAGCTGTACATCCACAAAATATAGGGTACTTTGTTTCATAAAGCGCAAAAAAAGACATTTTTGTTTTTAAAAGCCCCTAAGGGGTTCAAACAATAGGCCCCCCCATTTCAACAAATGAGGATTTTTTAGACTAATAGAGTTCTGCCTTTTAAGACAGGAAAGTACAGCAGTTAGTGAACCACAGAGATAAAAATAGCCCTGTGATTCAAATTATAAATTGTATTTGGAATAAAAATGAGAGAACTAGGGGTGGTAAAAAACACATCCTCCAAAGACAGATATTTACATGGGAATGTGGCAGATAATTAATTGACATATTACTGATCTTGCTGGATTTTATTCTGCTTTACTTCCATAAATTGCAGGATCTTCTTTACTTTATCTTTGCCAGAAGATTTAAACTTTAAAAGCCTTGCCCTCATAATTTGCAAGTTAATTTATTTATAAAGAAAATATAAACGCTGCTTAAGCTAATTCAAATGAAATTAAAAGTAAAATAGGTAGCCAACCTTCTCACTGTCTGTAACCTACTAACACGGTAAGGAAAGCATCAGATGAGCTACCTGAGAAACTAACGTTACGTTTCCCCACTTTAAAACCAAACAAACATGGTTACTCATCCTGCTGATCAGCTCTCTTCACTGCCATTGAAGGCTCCAACGTGTTTCCTTTTCAGGTGCTGCATCATAACAGTGGTGCTTCCATTAATTCGTTTTTAGCAAAAGTTGCATGTTATGACTTTTTTCACTTTACAAAGCGCAGGCTATTTTAATTATTGTGATCAATTTGCGCCGTGCATGCGCCGCCGTCAATCCCGGCGCATGCACGCTTCATTTGCAGTCTGGACGCTGAGGATAAACATCCTGCGGCTCTGACTGCAGCGCTGAGAGGGACTCCTGCGGGAGAACGGGGTTGGGATGGGGGAGGTGCCCCACGGCAGAGTAGGAACGATACATGCTTTCAAGTAAGAGTCTCCAAAAGAAGCCAGTGACACCGTAAAAAGTCGCCAGATTTGTCGCTAGTCGCTTTTTTGAAAAATAGTCGCTGGAGGGGTCTGAAAAGTCGCTGAGTTGGCAACACTGAGCCCTGCAGCGCTGACTCGCTCTGCCGTATTTTTTTTTTCTTCCCCCGTTTCAGTCAAGTGGCAGTGATGACGACGGCGGCGGATGACGCATTAATCGCGCGACACAACTAATCGATGATAAAATTCGTTGCCAACGCTTTTAAAAGTCGATTTTTATCGATCGGTTGTTGCAGCCCTACCTGCAACACTGGACTCTGGACGAGCAGGTTTTTAAGGTCGTGAAAAAATGACCCTGGAGTAAAAAATACGACATGCTTGTGCTTAGTGCAAAGGAAAATCACCATAAAAATCGCAATATTGGTTGAAAATATGATGATTTTGAATCATTCAGCCCTTCTAATGAGCAGTAATAATTTTACAAAAATGTAGTTTGACCTGTTAGTGCTTGGAGGTAACATATTAGCGTCACTTTAGTAACACTGATCATTCTCATCTCTTTCCATATAGGGAGTTGTTTTTAAGAAATATCTCTAAAAAAGCAAACTAGCAGCACCCCAGCTGGAGATCAAATAAACCATTTTAATTAGCTGCAACCAGCTTTTAACTTGAACACCAACATCCTGCTGAAGCACCAAGGAACTACTGAGCTTTTTCTCTAATAATAGTTTTTTTGTGCTTTGTTTTGAAACCAAAGTGTGGCCGTTTACTTACAGACTGTATCAGAGGAGTCACACAGCAGAGCTTCTTTTTCAGATGTTCAGGCAGAAAACAAAGCAGTTTTCCTAATAAGGGATAGAGTGTTCCAGGTGTTGCCTCCTCTTCTTTCATTGGGCCTTTAAAAAACAATACAAAAAGGTGAGTGTAAGGAAAGCGTTGTGCATTAATTAAGCATACATAAATGTTGGTGCTGGTGTTCTGTACCAGTGAGGAAGCTGATGATCAGCCCGATAAGAATGACGGTTAGGCAGTTGAACGCGCTGTACCACATGTAGGACAAAGAGTAAAACCTCTGCAGGCCGGTGGGGCGGCTGATAAACAAAGACATACGATTTAGCTGTGAGGTGGGATCTGGACGAATTAACGAGCACAGCTAACGGCGGGAGACCCACCTTGTTACGTTGGTGAGAGCTGTCTGAATGGCGGTCGTTGCGTTGACGTGACAGCTGGGCGGCAGGCGTTTTGCTCCAGAGCTGTGAGTGACGATGCTTCCGATGCCGACCCAGAAAGCGAAGCCCAGACCTGCACCCAGACCAGCCACTGCACCCTGGAGAAAAAGAAATATCAGCACCGTGGTCAGTTTTTCATAGCTTCAAAAGAGTAGGGACATGTAATGTATATAATACTACGAAATCTTAGAGACAAACTACGGAAAAGGAACTCAGAATTCTGACTTTAAATCTCAGAATTCTGACTTTAAATCTCAGAATTCTGAGATTTAAAGTCAGAATTCTGAGATTTAAAGTCAGAATTCTGAGATTTAAAGTCAGAATTCTGAGAAAAAAGTCAGAATTCTGAGATAAAAATTAAGAATTCTGACTTTTTCCCATGTTAAACTGAAATAAAATTTAAAAATCACTTTTTTTTTCAGTGGCCCTAATCCTCTTCCGTAATAAACTGATATATCATAATGACTTTTTTTTTCCCTGTATCAGCCGAAATGTGCATGCATTGGCCTGTTCATAAATGCATTCAGCAGCCATGCTGTGAGATCATGCAGAGAGCAATCATTGCCTTTCCCTGCATTTGCTAGGTTTTGTTTTATTTGTAAAAGAAAAAAAAAATTATTTTTTTTTGTTTAAAATTAGACCAGTGTAAGATTTGTTATAACTGTTCAATGTTTATCATGGAAATAGGGGAAGAAAAGCAATATCTGCACCACATATCAGTTAGACTGGTGTCAAAATAACATTAAAAACTATATCGGTTGATTTCCAGTAAATATTGATTAGTAGCCCAGATTTTCATATCAGTGGATCCCTACTAGATAAAGTTCTGCTCTTTGCGTTTCTACACAATCTCTGCTTTCATAGCAACAAGGTAATGATGCATTCAGACTAAACCTGTGTTGCTCTTAAAAAAGGCGTCCAACACTTCAACTTAAAAATGTATACACGTTAAAGTCAGACAAGTCCAGAGGAGGGCTAACCAAGGCCTGGAGAGCTACCAAACTTCAATATTTAGAGGTGTCCCTAAATGCTAACCTGACTCCGCCAGATGGATTTGCTCCGCATATCCATCTGGAAACCTTCCGTTGAAGTAATTTTGGGAAGGGGCGAAAATACTGGTTAGCTGATTGGCCTATGTTGGTGATAGACGGGCCAAATAAACCAATCAGATCAACGAAGAATATGACGTACTAACAGAGCGACGACGAAGAGGAGCCAATTGATAGATCAAACTCTTGCCGCAACCAGTCGGGAGAAGAGCAAAAACATCTTTTCCTCTGAGAAAAGCCTCCAGAGCAGTGTTTTGCTCTTCTTTCAGTGAAGAAATACTCTGTAATTCCGATAAAACTTGCTCGATAGCCACGCTAACGCTAGTTTCATCGGCTGAAGCCGCCATGTTCTTTAGACTGAACTGTCGCGCTTCTCGTTGCGTCACACCTCAACCCGCCTCAAAGCCAACGCTGGTTGGACGTTCGTTTGGTGAACGGCTCCAAATTTTCTACAACGGAGAGTCTCCAGACTGATTAGCGAGTGAAATCTTGAAAGCTCGTGCTGCAGGACCCCTTAACGCCTGAGACGCACGTCCACCATATACTTTCCACAAAATACAGACACCCTAATTACGTGTGCACTAAATATCTCCCTGGACTCAGCATCCCTAGTCAAACACAGTGGTGGCAGCATCATGCTGTAGAGAACAGGGATGATGGATGATGCTAACTCAGGGCGATTAATAAGTGAGCAACACAGAATAAGTGAGTAGATTTAAGAAATCGAATTCCCACTGATATTCTATTTATCTCATTTATCTGGCAAAATCAAACTGCGGTATTTTATTGGTCTATTGCAAAAAGTAAACTGAACAGCAAAACCTTGGATCATAAATAGTTTTTAATGTTTTATAAGCTCACGACTAAACAAACAAAACTGTAGCAAATGACAAACTTACAATGGAGTTGGCACATGGGAAGAACATGCCGAGACAAAACAGGCCGAGGATCGGTCCACCGACCATCCCAAAGATCTTTAAAGCTACCTGCAAGTCAAGCGTAAACACTTAAAGCTAAACCAATCGAACCGTTAATAATAGGATCAAACAAGGCGCTCACCAGTAACACCGAGTCCCCCATCAGGTGAGTGAGGTAAGCCATGGCCAGACAGAGCAGCCCGTAGGACAGCGCTTCCAGAACAGAGACGTAACATCAAGCATTAGAAAGTTCAGCCATCGATTTGGTCGTTTTTAAAGCAGAGAGCAGCTCTCACCCAAAGCTTTGGACACCAGCGTCGCTCTCGCTTCGGACATGGATGGAAAATGTGGTTTGATGAGATCCTCCATCGTCACGGTAGCCAGAGAGTTGAAGGCAGAGGAGATGGTGCTGAACAGACAAGTCATAACATTAACATATGCCTTTTTTTTATTTTTACAAAATCAAAAACTTGTGTAAATTAACATGAGAAAGCCAAGCTATTTGTGATGTCACTGGATCTTTATGGATCATGTTTTATTTAAGCACACCAAACCAAATCCTACTGGACATCAACGAGCTGTAAATTATGCTTTCTCTCTTAATATGAAGATTGGAGAAATTACAAAAGCAGCACAGTTCAGTCTTTAACGAAAACCTGGTCAATAGAAACTCATTATGCAAAGCAGCTGAGCACCAGAATAAATGACCAGGATATCAAATTATCTCCGTTTTATTACTGTCTGGAATTCACACAAAGGTCCATTTCAGCTTCATGCAGCTCTTTTTATCTTTATGCTTACTGGTTTAATTTAACTTTTTTTATTACTTTACATAAATCCATATTTCTAAATCAAGCTAAACTCACTCTTGCTATTCTTTTTTAAACTTTTTTAATCCAATCTTTTTACTGTTAGAGAAATAGTACAACCTTTTAACTCTTATAAAACAGATAAATGTATCGTTTTTTTTAAAGTTTGCCAAATTAGTAGTTTATGTCTGAAGGGGAAATTAGTTAACTGATGCTGATCAGCTGTTGCAGACCTGGACATGCAAACTGAATATTTTATATGTTTTATATTTATAAATATTTGACATTTTATAATTTCCAGACCCAAAAGTTAAAATGTTTTAGCAGATCTGTGTGGACGACCTTTACTGTAGTTGTGTTGCTTCATGTTGACCACTTCACAGTGAAGTTTAAAGTAAAAAAAAAAAAAGTTCACTATTTATATAGTCTCTTAAATTAGTGCTGAATGAATTCTTGTTAAGATTATTTGCAGCCTGTTGACAGACAGTTTGTTCCCATGTCTTTGGTTGAATATCTAATAAAAAATTCTGATTGATTCTTATTTATCTTATTTACTACCCTTATATTCCTATATAGGGGGAAAACTGAATTAAATACCGTATTCTCTGGACTATAAGCCGCTATAAACCATGGTGCTTATAAGAAGGCGCGGGTTCTCTGTTCATTTTTTTCTAACTGCCAGAAGGTGAAGGGAAAGAATAAGGGTCTAATTTTAACTTAGCATACGAGCATGCTAGCAGCAGGCACAATGGAGAACAAATATCCCGAATTTATGTATTTTGACATTTATCTGCCTCATTAAATAAAGAGACTGGGTTCAACTCCTGCAGAACTGAAATAAAGAGCCGACAAAGCCCCATCTTTCAGTAGAAACTCTTACTGCTGTGAGCTAACAAGCTAACGGGAGCTAGCATTCTTCTTCATTCCTACTCCAGGGGCTATAAGTAAGTAGAGCTCCCCCTACAGGTTTGCTGGGAGACAGTTCCGTAGATATCAGCAGTTTATAGCCCCATGCGGCTTATATATGTATGTTTTAAAATTTTAAAAACAATTTAGCGTGTAATGAGGTATGCTCTATAGTTCAGAAAATATGGCACATGTTATTTATTGTAGTGTATTTTCTGCTTTAAAAAATTATGGCTATTTTTCTGAAGCGACCAGTTAGCTTCATAAACCAGCCAATAGTTTCACAGCAAAACACACAGCAGCTGCCAGTGTTTTTTTATTTATTTAATAAAGTTAATTTTAATATGTTATCAGGGCTGTCAACTAGAGACTGACACGGGAGTGGATTTTCACTCCTGTCCCGTCCCACTCCCACAGAAAAAAATGGTGTCCCGTCGCGATCCCGGGCCAGAGTATAAATCTAAATCCTGTCCCGTCCCACTCCTGGTGAAATTTCTCCCACTCCCATCCCGCTCCCATTCAGAATGACTCCCGCTCCTGCACTACTCCCATTCTTTTGTTTTTCAGCGTGGGTGAAAAACTCAGAGCGGAAGCACTGTTGGTTTTTGGGTCGTGTAGTTTTTTTGACTCGCATTATAGTGTAGGCTTCAAGGAAAAAAACTACAAAATGGCGGCGCCAGTACTGGATTTTTTTTCTCTCTATTTTATTTTTTGGCATCGATCCTAGTTTTTTTTTTAGTTACTATTGGTTTCCCGTGACCCGTGGGATTCCCGAAAAAATGTCAGTCTCTACTGTCAACTCTCACCCATTGGGAGTGAGACTCACCCATCTCAGGGTCAGACATTAATACTCAACTCTGTTCCACTATTTATATATAAAAATACCATGGTGATTAAAATCCAGTCTGCGTTTTTAATACAACCTGAGCGCTAACGCAGAAGGACATGCCAGGTTCATATCCAGTCCGTATTCCCACCTATTCACTGTGTCAGATATTGATCAAAGACAGTTATTATGAGGCATGTCATTTAAATTTTTATCTTATCTCATCTGCAATAGGATAATTCTCTTTGTAAATTATTAAAGATTTCTAGCAATCTAGCACTAGCAGCTAGTTTAAAGTATTGATGTGTAGACTAGGGCTGAAACGATTCATCGAGTAACTCGAGTAACTCGATTACAAAAAATCCTCGAGGAAATTTATCTGCCTCGAAGCTTCGCTAAATTTATTGTATTGTAATAAGCAATGCTGTTAAATACGCAGCACACTGGTCTAGCCGGAGGGTTTTTGTGTTGCACAACGCTACCACTTCCGTTAGCGCCTGGAGCGCTTGTGCTAAGTTTGTAGCTATGGAGGGAACCGGAGAATGCTCAGAAGGAGAACCCCGAAAGCGACAAAAAATGTCAAAAGTTTGGGAACATTTTAGGCTAAACAGAAAGGACAACACAGCGCAATGCATCCACTGCAAAGCAGAATTGGCGTACCACAACAGCACGACATCAATGTTGCAGCATCTGAAGAGAAAACACCCGCTACATGCATCCAACTCCTACACGGTTGCCAACAGGTAACGTTTATGTTCTCTTTGCTAACTACGTTGTGTGATAATCTGCCATGTTATAGATGTAAATTGAGGCACATTATTTTGCTAACGTTACATCTAAACATAGCGGTTACTTAACCGGGTGTAGTGTAAATTGTATGTGAGGGTGGAACTGAGAGAAATTATGCAGGACTTAATGTAAGTTTGTTAATAAAAATACGCAGCAACAGATTACAGGCATAAGCTGAAAAGCATTTATTTATTGGTGTCTTTCCATCCTGAAAAGTTAGTCTTTTCTTCTCGCTACTGTTATGTATGAATTAGAAATTTTTTATTAATATTTTTTGTAGTAATTCTATATTTGTTTATACCTAAGCAATCAAGAATAAATAATAGCATCGTTTTAATAAAAATAGCAACATTTTTGCATTTTATCATGACTAGTTAAGGCTGCAGAACTCTGTACAAACTCAAACCTTTACATTTAGACATTTTATAAGCATATTTGTGAGCCTGCCACTTTATTATTTGAATATAATTTAATATCTTATAACTTTTCTTCAGGTTAAAGCAAACTACTGTTACAAGTAAACTTTCTAAACTACAAACATTTAACTGTTAGGGATGCTCAAAAAGGAGATATTGGACTGATCTGGACTAACTGGTGTTATTGCAGATTTGCCAATAGTTTATTTTATACATTTTTTTTATCCGATTACTCGATTAATCGTAAGAATAATCGATAGATTACTCGATTACTAAACTATTCGTTTACAACAGCCCTAGTGTAGACTGAGTGTAGGATCACATTAAACTGTTTGTTTTCTCTTTACCTGATGCTTTTTTTAGGCCCAGATTTAGTCCATGTTTTGCTTACAAGTTAAATTATTATTGCTCAGTCTAGTTTAATAATCTAATAAATTGTTGGAATTTAGGAGTAATTAAATCAACACAAATGTTTTCATTCTTAAAGCTTTCAGGTTTGCCTCAAAAACCATAAAAGTGAAAAAGAACGATTGCATTTTTTATTTATTTTTAAAATAAAAAGAAAAGACCAACCACATCCAGAGAGGACGTGCAGAACAACTCAGTTATCCTGGATTGATAGAGGGAGAACCACAGAGATGTTCTCATTTCATTATTTCGTGTCTTATTAATTTATCCTTATTTTGGTCCATTGAAAATGTTCAGATCCAGAGAAGTGCCGTCTTGTGTGATGTTGAATTGTTTAGCTGTTTTGCAATCGTATGAAAAACGAATAACATAATCCTTAGCCTATTACCAAATATTTATACACAGAGTAGTTTGCAGAGGTTTGGATTGCACTGGTTCCAGTATCAGTGCCAGTAATCCAGTAATAACTTATTAGTTTCCAATTGTTTATTTTACTTGAACTGTATAGAATAATTAATAAACAAAGTTGTGAAATTCTTAGTTTACAGTATATTTGATACTTTTACTACACTTTTATTACATTTTGCCACTTAGGTTTCAGGTAAATCCTCTGAAAACCTCCAACCTTTAGCTGCTGCTGTCCTCATCTAACCCTGACAGGGTTTACTGTTCAAACTGTTTCCCCAAAGTTTGGTGAAAAGTTGGAAGTCCTGTGTTATGATATTTAAATGCATTTGAAATTCTGACTATGATAAGAATAAGTGTGCAAAGATACATTATGCTATATGTTTAACACTGTTAAAACAAATGTATTCAATTAATTACAGAGATTTGGCAGCTTTTATTTTGCAGCAGTGGTGCGTCACCATCAATTACATGTAGTGGAAACTGAACAGTGACCTGAGTGACCTCCTAGTGAGTAACACGAAAAATAAGAAACAGAGAGTTTAATGTTTAACTCAATGCTGACAATAATGTGACAATATATAATATAATATCTTATATTTTTTTCCGAAACTCATCCAGACCTAGAAAATACATAAGGAGCAATTTTCCAAACTTTTCAAAAACAGCATAACAACCCAGCAGAAAAAGAAAAAAAAGTAAATTGCAGAGATGAGTTGACTGATAAGAAGAGCCATGGATGCTGTGGAAATCCCCGTACCTTAGAGCCGCACTGAACAAACAGGCGATAAACAGTCCCGGCAGTCCGGGCAGGCCTTGCAGCATGTCCATCACAAAGTATATCACCATCTGTGTAAATTAAACAACTGATATTAAAACTTCCTGGAAGCTTCTGCTTTGCATACATCTATGTAGCAAATGCAACCACAGCATGACCTCAGAGAACAGACTCTGCATTCAGGTTACACAAATCATGTTGAAGCTACACATGCAAATAGGGATTGATGTTTTCCTTCCACCATTCCTTTGTGTGAATCAATTTAGCCCACAAAACACTAAGTCCTAGCCCAGAGGCAACCAATTAAAAATAGGCACTCCGAATAAAGAAAATCATCAACCAGTAAAGGTCCGGAGACATTTTTAATTATAATCTGTTACTTTAAACAAAATCTAACAGTGAAATAAAATGCAGTTGTTTATGCATCCATGTTATACATTGACTTTTTAAATAAAAATATAATTTTTTTTCCATTTTAAAATCTAAAGTGTTTTTTTAGGTAGAGAACAACAATCGTTCAGTTTGGTTTATAGATAATTTCCTGATTCCCACATTTTCTCAAACACCTGAACTGAGCGTTTGTTATTTTCTTTCTTTTTTCTGTCTTAATGTTGGCAGTGGGCTTTAGTACGGTGGCTGAGAAGTGCAAAACACATTTACAATTCAAAAACACATTAACAAATAAAAAACAAAATAACATTTGAAGAAACAAAATTATATTTTATGAAACAAATGTATTTTTGAAAAAAAAGTTACAATTTTTAAAAACAAATTTACATTTTAGCAAACAAATTCACATTTTAAATAAGTTAGATTTTAGGTGAGAGAAAGTTTCATTTTAGAGAAAAAAAAAAACATTATAGGGAAACAAATTTACATCTAAAAAAAATTGACCGTTCAGAAACACACGTACAAGTGCAATGACAAAACTGCAAGCGGCAAAACACAGTTACATAGCCAAAAACAAATTAACAAAAGACGGCTACACGGAAAGGGAATGTCCCAGTGGCCGGATGCGACGTCACCATTACCCTGACTTGTAGTACAAACAGCTCAATCTGTAGTCCTCCTGCTTCACGTGAAAAGTCAGCGTCGGATTTATTATTGTGGAGCAAATTTCAGCCAATTTACACCTTTGTTCTTCGTGCGGACGGTCTCTGGAACTTTTACGGGACACGGACCAGGTGGCATGACCACCGGAACTGCTGCAACGCAGCCACTGCCACGAATTGAGCTCGGCCCTGCTGCTTGGTCCTGCCACCTGGTCCGTGTCCCGTAAAAGTTCCAGAGACCACAATAAGGGCAAAACATTGTTCGGTTAGCGTAAACTTAAGAAAAACAGCTTCAGTGCAATTCTTTCCATCTAAAATCGCCGCTGACTTTTCACGTGAAGCAGGAGGACTACAGATTGAGCTGTTGTACTACAAGTCAGGGTAATGGTGACGTCACATCCGGCCACTGGGACATTCCCTTTCCGTGTAGCCGTCTTTTGTTAATTTGTTTTTGGCTATGTAACTGTGTTTTGCCGCTTGCAGTTTTGTCTTTGCACTTGTACAAGTGTTTCCGAACGGTCAATTTTTTTTTAGATGTAAATTTGTTTCCCTATAATGTTTTTTTTTTTCTCTAAAATGAAACTTTCTCTCACCTTAAATCTAATTTATTTAAAATGTGAATTTGTTTCCTAAAATGTAAATGTGTTTTTAAAAATTTAAACTTTTTTTTCAAAAATACATTTGTTTCATAAAATATAATTTTGTTTCCTCAGATGTTATTTTGTTTTTTATTTGTTAATGTGTTTTTGAATTGTAAATGTGTTTTGCACTTCTCAGCCACCGTACTTTAGGCTGCCCTGCAAGGCTTTAAACCTGGGTTTAACCGGAGACTAAGCCATTCTCAAGCCCATATCAAGGAGCTCATTTTGAGCCTGGATCCAGATTTATTGTTGATTCTGTTCATGGTGGAGAATCCTGCTTCACAGCAGCAGGTTGAGCCAAACATCCTCTAAATGTGCAGGGTCATCTTTGAGCACGCCATTTCACTTTTCTTTCACCAGTTCACTACAGTTCTTCCAGCAGTCCACACTTTCTCTGCTCTCTTTTTCTCATGGTCTTCTCCTTCTTTCCCATCGCCCGGCTTGCCACAGGTTTGCCTGCTGTGTCTAACAGTAGCAGCAGCAGCAACCCAGACTGACAGCTCATTGGCTCATTTGGATCACGTGCAGCCTGGAGCCGGACGCTCCCCAGGGCTTTACCGTATTAACAGGAGAAGAGGCGCAAGTGAAGTTAAGACACTGTCCTCGGACAACATGCGGTAATTTAGAAATGTTTTAATTCAGGTTGGGTCCGGATCCCAGTCCGCTAATCCGTGACCTCTGGTCTAGACTATTTCATAGTAAATTTAAGTGTTCTTAACAATATCGAAAGTTTCCGGATATGAGATTAAAAATGAAAGCAGAGTTGAACTCACTGCGTCTCGAGAAGAGCTTCCCAGCTTCTCAGAAAAGTCCTCTCCACAGTAACGAGCAAACATGACCAGACCCATGACACAGCTGAGAGCCAGAGCCAGCTGAAGGGAAGGAAACACCATGTAGCACGACCTGCACAAACACAGAGAACCACAGTGAAAAATGTGACTCAAACCCTCCACAAAACTTTAATCACTCTTTAATACCAGAAAAACAGTGGCTGTATGAAGGTTATTTTCAAATTATTGATAATCCAACATGAAAAGACTCAGGAAGAAAGGATGTTTTCCTGCTTTTTAGAAATTGAAGGAGCATATCAAAATGATTATCAGTTGTTCTTGGGCTCCAGCATGAAGTTTAGCTGATCGCTTTTCACAAAGTCTGTTATTCTGATTTCCATAGTCATTACAACTAGTGGGTTTTTAACTGTATGGGTTTCCCAGCTTAGTGAGATTTTCCACCATCAGGACCAAATTAATTCCTTTTCTGGGTCTGTCTTCTTTTAAAAGTGGTGATTCATCCAAATCTTCTAATATTTTAATTGCTATCAAAGCTTTATTTCTATATCTGTTTAAAAACACTGAGAATGTCCTCTGCAGAGGTATATGTTCACTTAAAATCTTACATTATTTTTCCATCAACGCTGCCCAGAAGTTGAATTTTCTTAACTTCAATTGATCCAATCGGCTCTCCTTGCCTTTATAAGTTTTTTCCAGTCATCAGTGATAGACTCATTTATCACCAGTGAAAATAGGAAGGGTTGTGGGTTTAATTCTCAGGTGTCAGAAGTGGTGCTTCTGTCCTCCTATTGCTTTCTGTGGCTCAAATAACAATTTACAAACTCATAGTTCTTAAATTTTTTATTCTTTTATGAAAACTTCTCTCTTCTGCAGGGATCCATCGCTCCCAGGCAGAGTCTCCCTTCACTGTTTTATCTTCTTTCATAGAAGGTCCATGTGGATTTTAAAAGCTTCCACATTCACTCCTAAGACTGGGACGTCCTTTGCCATCCGTCCGCTTTCTTCGGTCTCCAGGACAGCTGCCGACACGTCATGCCGACCGTCTCTGGACCACAAATTATCCTCAACAGTTTTCTTTCATGTTTAAATATATCTTCACCATATTTTACCTTTTTAATCGATGTCCTCATGCTGTTATAGACCTGGTGGCTCTCCATATGTTGCTTCAGTGACAATAGTGACATTTGATTCAAACTGCTCTCCAAGATTTTTGGACCTCTTATTAAACTGTTGCATTAGTTCCCCTTGATCAATTGCATTTGCATCTCTTATGATTTTGTTGGCTTGACGAGTGAAAAGGCTCTTGGCAACTGCTTGACTTCTGCCATTTTGTCTGTGCAACCACAGTATACAGGTGCTGGTCATAAAATTAGAATATCATGAAAAAGTAGATTGATTTCAGTAATTCCATTTAAAAAGTGAAACTTGTATATTATATTCATACATTACATACAAACTCATATATTTCAGATGTTTATTTTGTTTAATTTTGATGATTACAAATGACAACAAATGAAAATCTCAAATTCCTCATATCAGAAAATTAGAATATTACTGAAGACCAATAAAAACAAAGGATTTATAGAAATGTTGGCCAACTGAAAAGTATGAACATGAAAAGTATGAGCATGTACAGCACTCAGTATTTAGTTGGGCCTCCTTTGGCCTGTATTACTGCAGCAATGCGGCGTGGCATGGAGTCGATCAGTCTGTGGCACTGCTCAGGTGTTATGATAGCCCAGGTTGCTCTAATAGTGGCTTTTAGCTCTTCTGAATTGTTGGGTCTGGTGTATTGCATCTTCTTCTTCACAATACCCCATAGATTTTCTATGGGGTTAAGGTCAGGAGAGTTTGCTGGCCAATTAAGAACAGGGATACCATGGTCCTTCAACCAGGTACTGGTAGCTTTGGCACTGTGTGCAGGTGCCAAGTCCTGTTGGAAAATGAAATCTGCATCTCCAAAAAGTTGGTCAGCTGCAGGAAGCATGAAGTGCTCTAAAACTTCCTGGTATGTGGCTGCGTTGACCCTGGACCTCAGAAAACACAATGGACCAACACCAGCAGATGACATGGCACCCCAAACCATCACTGACTGTGGAAACTTTACACTGGACTTCAAGCAACGTGGATGAAGTGCCTCTCTTCTTTTCCTCCAGACTCTGGGACCTTGATTTCCAAAGGAAATGCAAAATTTACTTTCATCAGAGAACATGACTTTGGACCACTCACCAGCAGTCCAGTCCTGTTTCTCTTTAGCCCAGGCAAGACGCTTCTGACGCTGTCTGTGGTTCAAGAGTGGCTTGACACAAGGAATGCGACAGCAGAAACCCATGTCTTTCATACGTCTGTGTGTGGTGGTTCTTGAAGCACTCACTCCAGCTGCAGTCCACTCTTTGTGAATCTCCCCCACATTTTTGAATGGGTTTTGTTTCACAATCCTCTCCAGGGTGCGGTTATCTCTCTTGCTTGTACACTTTTTTCGACCACATCTTTTCCTTCCCTTCGCCTCTCTATTAATGTGCTTGGACACTGAGCTCTGTGAACAGCCAGCCTCTTTAGCGATGACCTTTTGTGTCTTGCCCTCCTTGTGCAAGGTGTCGATGGTCGTCTTTTGGACAACTGTCAAGTCAGCAGTCTTCCCCATGATTGTGTAGCCTATAGAACTAGACTGAAAGACCATTTAAAGGCTTTTGCAGGTGGTTTGAGTTAATTAGCTGATTAGAGTGTGGCACCAGGGGCCATCAATTTTGAACCTTTTCACAATATTCTAATTTTCTGATATGATGAATTTGAGATTTTCATTTGTTGTCATTTGTAATCATCAAAATTAAACCAAATAAACATCTGAAATATATGAGTTTGTATGTAATGTATGAATATAATATACAAGTTTCACTTTTTAAATGGAATTACTGAAATCAATCTACTTTTTCATGATATTCTAATTTTATGACCAGCACCTGTATAGCAGGGGTTTTCAAAGTGGGTGCCGCGGCACCTAGGGGTACTGCGAGGTCACTACAGGGGTGCCGCAGGATTTTTTCATAGATTGATGAGAGTTTTTTAATGAATGTACATTTTTACATTATAACAATTTTGTAAATTTATTTTGATGTAAGCAAATATATTCTAAGACGAGGGGCTTCATTTTATGTTTTCTTTACTACCGTATTTTCACGACCATAAGGCGCACCGGACTAAAAGGCGCACTCTCAGTTATGTGTGCCATTTCTGTATTTAACACACACATAAGGCGCACCGGACTATAGGGCGCGTTTTTTATATACAGGTACATGTCCTCTACTACCTTTAAATAGCTCTACTGCGTATTTAAAAATACAGCGGGGGCAAAACTGAGTATGATTGTGCTTTATTCATGTATTTATTACAAAGTATTAATCAAACCTGGCAGCTGGCCGTGAGACAGAGACATCGCAGATGACGCAGCGCTGTGATCACTCCTAAATTAACTTAAAATTTTGAAACCTGCCGATGGAATATGTTCGCTTTTATTACCGGTATCCTGGTGCCTGCAGTTTAAATTATTTAGATGAAAAACACCTGCCAGCCGCCGCGGTGAACCCGGAGGCTGCCCAGCCTAGAGGCTGCTGTTGAAGGGATTTCTGCTGTCGGTGCACCGCTGGTATGTGGGGGTCTGAGCGCCTCCGACAGAAATAGATAATCTGGATGAACTGACTGCAATTATTACGTTTTCAGGTGGACTTTCTCACTTAAAAACATATTAAAACTACTTTATTCCCACTGATCACAGCAAATATAGCTGCAAGATTTAGATTATTTAGATGAAAAAACACCTGCCAGCCACCGCGGTGAAGAGGAGGAGACCCGCCCAGAGGCTGCTGTTGAATTAAGTTTTCAGATAGAAAAATAGAGCGGGAGCAAAACTGAGTATGATTGTGCTTTATTCATGTATTTATTACAAAGTATTAATCAAACCCATCAAAGTCATCATCCTCTGTTTCTGAATTAAACAGCTGCACTAAATCAGACATGCCAATTTCCCCTTCTTCGCTGTCAGAGTCACTTTCCGTGCAGCGCGGCTCCTCGGAAATAATGCCGGCTTTTGCGAAAGCTTGAACAACAGACCCAGCAGACACGTTAGTCCAAGCATCTACAATCCATCCGCAAACGGTGGCGTAACTTGCCCGGCGCTGCCTTCCACTTATCCTGAAACTGTGGTCTCCGTCGGTCATCCATCGCTCCCACGCCGCTCGCAGCCTTACTTTGAACGGCCGCTTCACACCGATGTCGAGCGGTTGAAGTTCCTTTGTCAGACCCCCCGGGATAACAGCGAGCACAGCGTTCATTTGATTCACCATGTTTTTCACATCGGCTGTGAGATGGGCACGCATGGAGTCACAGATTAACAGCGATGGTGATGAGTGGAAAAAACCACCTGGTCTCCTCACATACACCTGCCTCAGCCACGCTTTCATCATCTCCTCAATGAGGTGGTCTCAAAAGTCCGCAGTAACAACACACATAGGCCGCACCGCACATTTCGAGGGGAAAAAAAAGACGTCTATATGCGCCTTATAGACGTGAAAATAAGCTAAATAAAATGTACGCATTGTAAAGCATGACAGCCTTTATTATAGTTTGCAGAAGTAAATTGATTAATTTAAAGTATTAAACTAACTGCCATAATGAAATATAATTAAATAATATTTCGCCATCTAAAGGCACTTTTCCATTCAGTGCTAAGAACTACAGTTTATCCATTAGACAACGGTTAAAGAAACGAAAGTAACTAGACGTCTCAGTTAAAATTACCTTTAAACAAAAAGCTAAATTTCTTTTTTTTAAATTAAAGACAACATATGAAAACTGTAAAATATTTCAAATAAAATGTCTCTTAATATATTGTTAGACCAAAAAGCCCAAATAAACCCAACAACTGAATTTAACCAAAAGGGATGAGACACCTGTGCTCTAATAGGAAAATATCTATGGTCTATCTAATTCATTCACTTCAGCTTAAATCTACTTTTCTGCTTCACAAAAATAAATATGTTAATAAGCATTTCAGACAGCAGCTCAATCTTATCAAATTAAAACCATACTACTCTGCTAGCTCCACTAAGCATGGAAAAACTAACATCTCCAAGCTTTGCTGCAGCCTGATGGCTGATCTGCACACATAGGAGATTTTACTGGAGCTAATCGTGAAAAAAAAAAGAGATTAACTTTATAGTCAATTCAAACACCTAACCTGATGACATCTAAATGTTTTATCAGTGTGATAAGCCCATTAGTGCTCTCTAGTGTACAAACTAATTATCTTTTTGCCCCAGAATGCTGCATGTTGAAAAAGCATCTGCAGAGATATTCACACTATTTTTGTGACATCAGTCGCCACATATTCTACCGGCATTTTTATGATAGATCAACATAAAGTAGTGAAATTATGATAATGCATGATTTTAAATCAATTTATAGGTAAAGATCAAAGAAATGAGAGGTATGTTCCCTTTTCTTTTTAACAGCTTAAGCTCAGTCGGATTAGACGGAGAGCTTCTGTGATCCTGACTGTCATTTTGATCTGACTCTGGACTTTAACTAGGCCATTCTAAGCAATGATTACGCTCTGATCTAACCCATTCCATTGTAGCCCAGCCTAAATGTTCAGTTCAACAGTTTCCTTTTTTGCAGATAATGCTGTAATTAGCTCCACAAGAAAAGACATAAAAACTTCCCCACGGCATAATACCACCACCACCATAATCTCATAGGGGGTGTTGCTTTCAGGGAGATGTGCACTCCTCTCCTAGTTTTCACCTTTAATGCTACGTTCACACCGGACGCAGCAAAAGCAGCAAAATCGCGTCTGCTGCTTCCTTTTTGCTGCTTGTACCAGTTAGTTCTGACGCGCGGCTGAAGCAGCTTTGCTGCTCTGGCTGCGCGGTGCAAAAGTGTGTCTGACGCGCGTTGGGCGGAGCTTCACTATCCTTTCTCTGCCTTGCAGCTATATTTGCTGTGATCAGTGGGAATAAAGTAGTTTTAATATGTTTTTAAGTGAGAAAATACACCTGAAAACTTCATCAGTGCAGTCAGTTCATCCAGATTACCATCCTGCCTTCCAATATTATTTCTGTCGGAGCCGCTCAGACCCCCACATACCAGCGGCGCCGTCAGTAGGATCCCATTCCACAGTAGCCTCTGGCCGGGTCGCCTCCTGGCGGTTCACCGCGGCGGCTGGTAGGTGTTTTTCATCTAAATAATCCGATCTGCAGGCACCAGAATAATAAAAGCGAACATAATAAACTGTTTCAGAGGAGCGATCATAGCGCTCTGTATCATCAGCGATGTGTGTCTCTCCCTGCCAGCTCCCAGATCAGCTTCTCTGATTGGTTGACGTGGCGCGTCGAGCAGCAAAAATTAAATTTTTCCATCTCGAGCAGAAGCGCGTTTGCGGCGCGTCAGATGCTTAAACGCGCCCGACTGCTGCTCAAAACGGGCTGCAGGACCTTATGCTGCGCCTTGACGCGCGTCAACCATTGACTTTGCATGTAAACTCGCTGCTTCTGCCACGCCTGCTGCATCCGGTGTGAAAGCAGCATTGAACGGCCGGTTCACACCGATGTCGAGCGGTTGAAGTTCCTTTGTCAGACCTCCCGCAATAACAGCAAGCACAGCATTCATTTGTTTCACCATGTTTTTGACATCAGCTGTGAGATGGGCACGCATGGAGTCACAGATTAACAGCGATGGTGATGCGTGGAAAAAAACCACCTGGTCTCCTTACATTCACCTCCCTCAGCCACTCTTTCATCATCTCCTCAATGAGGAGATGAGGAGTTCTGCATAAAGCACATACCTGTTCTTTTATACACAATCCACGCCCACACTTCCCCCTTTAACGTTCTCATGGTGGTCTCAACAACATCCGCAGTAACAACACACATAGGGCGCGCCGCACATTTTGAGGAAAAAAAAAAGAAGACATTTATATGCGCCTTATAGTCGTGAAAATACGGTATATGATTTTACATTTAGACCAAAAGTTAAACCAGAGCTCCTGTTTGGTATCTGTTCCTCCTCCTGATGCATTTTTTAAACATCTTGTTTCATCTCCTAATTCTGCCATAAAGACCAGATTTATAGAGAAGAAAAAAATCAAACAAAGCCAGTAAAGATCCACCAGGCAGCATACCTCACAGCTTCTCTCTCTGAGCGCGCGCTGAGATATCTTTGGACCTGAGCCTGGTTCACTCCATACAGGGACAGCATGAGGAAGACCCCTCCCACCCCCAGAGTCCAGAAGGTGTGTCTCTCTGTAGGATCCGGGTTTAAGCTAAAACAACGGAGAGAAAAAAAATCTAGTCTAAGATCATTTTAACAAACACATTCTCCCACCCAGGTCCTGTGATGCTTTAGTTTAAACTGAACTCACTCCAGTCCAGATATTCGGTTTCCCTCCTTCACTTTCCTCCACACCTCAGACACCCCCCCGGTCCGCTGTACTCCCACAATGATGACAGCAAGCTGACCGGCGAACATCACCACCGTCTGAAAGACGTCCGTCCAGATGACAGCCTTCAAGCCGCCCTGCGGAGGAACAACCAATCAGAACATTTTATTTTAGTCAAAGCAGGAGAAAATGTAAATGGCGACACAGATTCAGGAAAGGAGTTTCAAACAAACCGTTATGCAGTAGTGGTGTAGAATTAAAAAAACTGAATGAAAACTAGAGAAATTTAGAAAATTAGATTGATAAAATGATTTATTGTAATGGTGTAAATTAAAATAATGAATCAAAATCCGACCAAAGAATTTGAACTGCTTGAATGAAAACAGCTCGGCAACTTTTGTTCTTCGCTGTTTTTAGTTAAGAAAAATTGTCTTTGCTCCTGGAATTTTATTTGGAGAGAACTGAATAATAAGGCTGGGCGATAATTCAATAACGATATATATCGATCGATAGACGCGTGGCGCAACAGAAAAAAAGAGAGTCGATAAAAGTTCGATAAAGAAACGCAGTTTTCCTTCCTTCTCATTGTAGCCTATCATGTAGGTTTATGCTAGTCACTGCTTCCTCCCAACCAATCACAATCGCGGACCCAGGCACGCCGTCACCAAGCGCCGCCCTCTCAAACCACAACACAGAGCACATGAAATATTTATTTTGGTCACTTTTCTGGTCACTTTAGTTTATTCTTTAGTAAAGTAAAAGTGCACTGTCGTAAATATGCACAGCTGTTCTCCTGGTTTCTCGTTCAAGCCAGGCGCGGTTGTTTTGAGCTTAGCAGACAGGCGAATGCAACGAATGACTAATGCTGCGTTCACACTGGACGCAGCAGGCGCAACAGAAGCAGCGAGTTTATATGCAAAGTCAATGGTTGACGCGCGTCAAGGCGCAGCAAAAGGTCCCGGGGCGCGTTTTGAGCAGCAGGCGCAGCGCATCTGAGCAGCTGAAGCAGGGAGAGAGACACAGCGCTGATGATCACTCCTCTTAAACAGTTTATTGATGCCTAAATTAACTTAAAATGCAGAAATCTGCCGGCAGAATATGCAGTTTGGATTATTTAGATGAAAAACACCTACCGGCTGCCGCGGTGAACCGCGAGGAGGCAACCCGGCCAGAGGCTGCTGATGAAGGGATCCCGACTGTCGGCGCACCGCTGGTATGTGGGGGTCTGAGCGGCTCCGACAGAAAAAATATTGAAGGCAGGATAATAATCTGAATGAACTGACTGCACTGATTACGTTTTCAGGTGGATTTTCTCACTTAAACACATATTAAAACTACTTTATTCCCACTGATCACAGCAAATATAGCTGCAAGGCAGAGAAAGGATAGTGAAGCTCCGCCCAACGCGCGTCAGAGCCACTTTTGGACCGCGCAGGCAGAGCAGCAAAGCTGCTTCAGCCGCGCGTCAGAACTAACTGGTACAAGCAGCAAAAATGAAGCAGCAGACGCGATTTTGCTGCTTTTGCTGCGTGAACGTAGCATAACTGCACAAAGATTACCACTGTGCTAGCAACGAGCATGCTTTTAACTGGGGGGCGTAGCAGTTCTCGCCGTAAAGCAAGACTGACTCTCACGAGACTTCTGAGCCTGTGGGCGCGGGTCGGTGCTCCTGCAGTTGCAAGTGCGGTATTTCCCCCACAGACCACCAGGGCGGCCGAGAATACCTTTGTTCAACCTGAAATGACTCATTTAATCATCCAAAACGTTATGGAACACATTAATTAACTGAAAAATGTTGCATAGTGTGCCTTTAAAGTATAAAAGTATAAAGTAACCTTTAAAAAAACAGCCAGGTGCCGCTATATGATTTAAAGCTCAATTTTTCGACTATTTCTAAAACTTCTCTGAGATAGGGCCAAGGATGAGGGAGGTCTTGTTGGTCTCCGTCTCCCGATACGCTCTCGCCTGTGTCCGACCTTTCAGGCATTTCAACATCTTTTTCTGAATCCGACATTGTAGCATGGCATAGACAATTCACGTTAGCAGTTTGAAGAACACCTGCTTGCTTCTGATGATTTCCTTTAGCTAACCAATGAGTGTTTGCCTTATATGACTCATCCAATCACACCAGTTTTCACTAGATGTGGATGGAGCCAATGATCTGCATTGGATGGAGCGCATGACGGGAAATAAATATTTAGAAACATTAAACCGAAGCCAAGAGGAACGAGTAACGTTTGTTTTTAAAATGTAAGGAATAGAAAGTACAGATACTGGTGTGAAAATGTAATGAATAGAAGTCAGAAGAAAAATAAGTAATAGAGTAAAGTATAGATAACTAAAAAGTGTACTTAAGTACAGCAACAGAGTATTTGTACTTTGTTATAGAGACTGACATTTTTTCGGGAATCCCATGGGTCACGGGATTCCCGTGGGATGGGAGTCAGTATTAGTAACGATCACGTGATTGGGACGGTACAGGATTAAACATTAACGGGAGCAGACGGGAGCGGGAGCAAACCAATAGTAACTTCCGCTCTGAGTTTTTCACCCGCGCTCAAAAACAACAAGAATGGGAGTGGTGCAGGAGCGGGAGTCATTCTGAATGGGAGCGGGATGGGAGTGGGAGTAATTTCACCAGGAGTGGGACGGGACAGGATTTAGATTTCTACTCTGGCCCGGGATCGGGACGGGACACCATTTTTTTCTGTGGGAGTGGGACGGGACAGGAGTGAAAATCCACTCCCGTGTCAGTCTCTACTTTGTTACTTGACACCTCTGCTATCATGTATGAAACATGTTATTTTAACCATATTAACATGAGGGCAGGGCCGCTCCTTGCAGCTGCAGGAAGCTTCATGTATAAGATACTTTATGTTTGTTCTTAAGATGTACAATGTGTGACATATTACTGTTCCAGAGAGGTGTATAGGTCAACTCTCAGGAAGTATTGCTCAAGCTTAACGAAACCAGGAGGTTCTCGGACCATTTTACCGCAAGGTATTTAAATGCAAATTGACCTGTTCACTGAGGCTGCAAATTGAAATGTCTTTCTTGTTTCCCGTTCCTTTAGTGCAACCTAAGTTTGTGTAACTAGGGACCCCCCCACTGACTTTAATAAATAGCGAGGAGAAAGCTGAAGACCGGCAGAGCGGGGCGGAGATGTACCTGCACGTCTCTTCCTACTCTCCTCGCCAGTAAAAAGAATTCTGACTCTGTGCCTTTCTTTCCTTGTTTTACAGTGTTTTAGGTGTTAGACCTGACAGTAAGGTTGAAAAATATTTGAATGCTTTGGTACAATATGGCATAAGCACTGGTGGAAAACTATGAACAGTTTTCTTAACTTTTAGAGAGTTTTAGTGCAGACAGACAGACAGACAGACATAGCTGTTAACTCACCATTGTTGTGTATGAAGTGCAGACTAGTCCAGTTGCTAACACTGTTCCCCACAGCTGGAATCCAGTGGCTGTAATTAAACAGATTTACTGAAATGAACATTAAACTTGCTCCATCTTAATGAAACTAAGCAAAGCAGATTAACTTGTCATACCTGCATTCAGTGCGAAAGCAGGGGTGTACACACAAACACCCATATAGACAACCTTCAATCAAAATAGGAGGCAAATAAAAAAATATTGTTTTTAAAAGATAAAAAATCCAAAACAATCAAAGACAATAAAACAGACAGAGTTTATCATTTCACCTGCACTTTCTGCAGTTTTTAATAAATCTCACCTCTGTATAAAAAAATGTCTAATTTCTTAAATGTTGTTAAAAATGTATGCCTCCCCCCCAAAAAAAACATTTACAATCAGGAACTATACACCTACAAATCTCCACGTTTTATGTTGGGATTCTATGCAGTGGGCCCAGACAAAGGGATGCAAAGCAGGGGTTGACGTTAAGGATTTTTACCACTTGCCCTTTTGGCAAGTGACTTTCACATTTCATTTGCCCATAAAAACAATTTTTCCTTGCCCAGTTTAATGTTTGATAAATATAGTTCCTAATATTCATTTTTGTATATATATATCAATGAAACATGTTTGTTTTTTAAATGTTTTTTGTAATTCAGTATTTTTTAAGTTTCCAGGTTCCTGGTGTGTATCTGCATGCGTCAGATAATGAACTCCAGCCAACATTACCGTGTTAACATGCTTTTCAATCCTTCCTGCACATTATTTTCAAACTAAACTTTGCTTTAAACTCTTGTGTGCTTGGAAAAATAGAAATTGTAATGTTAAACAATCTAAAAAAATTTTTTAAAAACTTAAAGCTACAGTGTGTAACTTTTAGCGACATCTAGCGGTCAGACTGCAGACTGCAGCAAAATGAACATCTCCCCCCCACCGCTTCTCCCCCCCCCCAACAGTACGGCGAGCGTTACGGGACAAAATGTCTTCCACGACGTCCTCATCACCTACCTTCTCAAGTGATGAGGTTTGTTTACATAGATAATTTTACAGATAGTATTTCATTAGTCTGTGTAGGGTATAGATTTCATGTAGACTTTAGATAATAAATATACCCGTTATTTTTTCTACATTGTTGTGACGTTTTTGCGATCTCGCAATCGCTAGTTTGTTGGCTCTGCGCTGCCGTAGCGCAAAGATGTCTGCCTCCATGGCTGCGAGACCCGCTCCTATGTAATTATAAATAACGAATTCTAAGGCAACGCAAATGTTATGGTTAAAAGGCTGAGCTCATAGGTGATGATAAATAACATAGTTATGTATAATATATTACATTTCTGTCTGTATATCCCTGTAATTATTACACACTGTAGCTTTAAGATAAATCACAAGACAGAAGTCAATGTCACAAATGAATAACTTTTATTTTAGAGTCACAGTATGTTTATAGAAGATAATACTATTAATATAATGTGACTTTTCTAGAGAATCATTATACATAGTTATTTTATTCAGGGTTTCCACATTCTGACATCATTTCAGGATTCCCTGACTTTTAACTGACTCAGGATTATTTTTCCCTGACAAAATAAATGCAGCCGTTTGTCGTTTTGATAACTACATCAAAATTCACGCCATCTGACGGAAAATCATCCGGCTTTGACAAATCACGTGAGAATGTGTACAAAACAACAAAAATGGCGCCGGCAACACTTTTGGGTTGTTTTCATCGAATGTTGGTGATGTTAAAGTAATTTCGGTGATAATTTTTTTTGCGATCATTGCACTTGCCCGGCGGGCAAATGGTACAGTATATACAATAGAAAAATTAAAAAACAATTAAATAAGATGTAGGAAGATGTATTGGGGGATGAGGATAGACAAATAAATACAGAGGGCTATAGCAAGCAGGAGATGGAAACCCTTTTTTGGAATCAGGTCTGATGTAGCAAACTTTTACTGACACGACTGATCAGATGTTTATGATGAGGCCATCTTCCCGAATGTTCCAACTATGCGCTTAAACGTGGCTGGAAGCAGCATCACCTTTACTAACTGACATCTTAATGTAACAACAACTTGCCAGATAGTGACGCATTCGTTAAAACTAAAATGGAAGCCGCACTTATAATGTTTCTGGGGGTGTGGAGGCGATTTCCGATGGTTTGCAGTCTACCTTTCCAATTCGAAGTTCAAATTACAGCTCCTGCATTGTTCATAATACAAAAAAGTGTGCATTTTAAACTATTAAAAACTGCACTACATCATAGCATTTCTATTGTGGTTTTAAGCCGGGCTTAGGTGTTAGTATATACCAGATGCTCTTATATATTGGAAGTTTTTAAGTATCTTAAAGGACGTACCATTTGAAAGATAAATGTTAGAGTTCCACAGATGCGTACTGCTTTGTTGAACCGCAGCTCCAGATACTGTGAAACAAAAACAACAGATGTCTGTATTAGAGGCCACTCAGCAGACATACAGGTGTAGTAAATATTTTTGCATACCTGGTAAACACTGGAGAGTCGTAGTCTGTACAACACTGGAATGAAAACATGAGCAGGAATTAAAAGCCCTAGGATGTAAGCGCAGCCGATGAACCAGTACTGGGTGCCATGAGTGTAAATCTCAGCCGGGACGCCGATGATGGCCACTGCCGACTGGAAGGAGGCGATGAGCGAGAGGGAGACGGGAAGGCATCGCATGTTCCTGTCTGCCATCAAGAACTCCTGCGTGGTGCGCTGCCGCCCCCCAGACAGGGCGTAGTACAGCCCGATGCCTGCAGAGGCTGCCAGCAAAAGAGCAAACACAACATAGTCTGCCACTTGGAAGTGCTTTTGATCGGACGGCTCCATCTTGGTTTGTTTTCTGGCACGGGTCCAAGGTGCTCTTGTTGCTTCCTCATGCAGATTGAAAAGGCTTTTGTTCAAACTTATCAGCCAAGAGAGTCCAAACAACCTGCAGAAAAAACAAACAAACATGACAATTGGGAATAGAGTAATAAATAATCTGCTTTACAGTTTTGGAACTGTAAGCGATCCAAATAAACTCCACATGCCTTTATGCTGTCTGAGCACAACGACTTGCAGCATCTCTGTATTGCTACTTGAGAAAACCTGCTGGCTAGAACACAAAGCAGCTGTGTCCTTGCAGCTCTGAAAATAAGGCCCGCTTGAGCAGCGTGACGATCAGAGTTCTGTGGTCGAATCTTATGGTTCTACAACAAAAAAAACAAAGAAACTTTGATTTTTTTAAAGAACTTTTGTCAGTTTGGGTTAATTGTGATTTTGAAAAAGATTTTTAAGCTATTAAAGCGGTTTTAGCGCAGATATGTTGTTGGGTAGCAAGCTTATCAAGACTCAGCATAGAGTTTAGTCTGTTATAAACAAGGTCAGATAAAGGGTCTGTGACCTCCTGGCTCAGACGCTGTGAAAACACAAAATGATTGGAGGATTAACAACAATTTCCTTGGTCTGTAACCATCTGGCATAAAAATGAAAATCGACAGAATTGCTCCTGATTCCCTACAGGAGCAAAAAAATAACAGCTTTAAGTAAAACAATTACAGAAAATCTTTATTATATCTCAGAATGTATTCCTTAGTTATAACATTGTATAAAGTATGTAGCAGACTTTCGTAAAATGCCACAAAGTGAGTCTCCTTGTCAAACAGAAACCAGGTTATTCTCTTCAGGAATAAATCTAACATAAAAGAAGCTTTAATCCTAGCAATCTGACTTTAGGAGCTGCAGAGCAAGATTAAATAAGCTTTAATAAATGAGCTAAGGTTTGAAATCCTACTATGCATTTGATCAATCGATACTAAAAAGAATTTTCTGCTGTTCAATCAAAACAATGAGGCAACAATTCTTTGTGGTCTAAAAAAGCATCAATGTGTAATTTATTCTGCTTTGTTTTGAGTTTGATCAAAATTAGAGGGATATATTTTGAGATAAATTGCATATTAGGGATGTTTTCTATATGGAATATTCCTCTGAAATACTAGAAATGGTGGCCTAATGTTAGAGCAGGGAGTTAGATATTATAGATATTAAAAACAGACCTCCATTTAGATTGCCTGAGCAACAACTTTAACCCTAGGATGCTGAACAATCCCAGTGGATAGGTTAATTTAGAAGAGATATTTTATAGGACAAAACAAAAGTTGCAATGACAAAAGAAATAATGATACTTATAATCAACCAGAAGTTGGTGCAACAGATTAAATAGGAGTGAATGTGTAAAATAAACAATGATCATCATTATGTTTATAATTGTTTTCTTAGTTTGTTGAAATGCCACATAATAAAATTTATAAGCAAACAAGTAAATGTGATTTTTTTTTTACAATATTAGAAAAAGCTGGCAAATAAAAACCACATGGTCACCTTTAACAGGTTGTAATAACTAATAACCCTGTTGGTCTGTCTTCAGATTCCACTTTTATCATTTAAATCTCAGCACTAGAACACTTGAAATAAAATAAAGAAACTTTAAAAAATTTAACATCACTGAAGTTAGTTTTTTTAATCTTTTCTTTTAAGGCAATAAAGTCTGTTTAAACATGATGCATAACTTGAGTCAGGCTCACCTTTATAAGTAGCAGGTAGCGCTGACATCCGGGTCACATTCGCTGTCAGTGAACACATGTTTGTTGTGACATCCAATAACTCTACATTGGTTGATTAAAACAGGTTTCCAGGTGAAAACTCTGGGCCTTTTTCCTGAGTCGAGGCCCTTTTTTTGCAAAAACTCGACTAATGTGTTTCTTTTTCTCCCTGTTGTTCGCATTTAGAGTCACCTCTAGCCTACAGCCTGGCTAGTCTGCTGCTCCATGTGACCGTGCCTGTTTCTTCTTCTTCTTCTTATTGATTTTTATTGGCGGTTGGCAAAAAACGTTAGGTGAGCATTACCGCCACCAACTGGTATGGAGTGTGGACTACATGGCAGAAAAAAAAAAAAAAAAAAAAAAAAAATTAAAATAAAACTATACCCTATTATACAACCTAATCTGTTTCAAAAATTCAAATATAACCCGATATCCTCTGCTTCCTGATTCCTTCTGCAATAAATCGACAATGTCAAGTTTCATTTTCATGTCACTAAGTTTCCTTATTAACCTGTTTCTCTGTATCGAATATTTACTACAATTTAAAATGACATGTTCCACATTCTCATCTTCCCCACAGTCACATTTCCCTGTCTGATCTTTCCCTATCAAAAATAACGATCTATTCAATCCAGTGTGTCCTATTCTAAGTCGAGAAATAATAATCTCTTCTCTCCTGTTCCTTTCTGATCTTCTCATTGGTCCAATTCTCTTTTGTATTTTATAAAGCCACCTTCCTTTCTTTTCTTCATTCCATAACTTTTGCCACCTCTCTTTTGCTTTTTGTTTAATTATACCCTTTATTTCTGTTATACCAAAACTAACATTAATGTCTACCCTTAACTTATTGGTACTCTCCTTAGTCATCCTGTCTGCCCTTTCATTTCCTTTTATCTCGTTATGTGCCGGAACCCAAACAAAATTTACCACTAGCCCCATCATATTTATTCTGTAAAGTGTTTGTTGTATTTCAAGTAATATATCTGGTCTACTGACTGACTGATTATTTTGCAAACTGATTAATGACGAACTGGAATCTGAGCAAATGATAGATTTTAATGGTCTTACCTCTTCCACCCATTGAACTGCTAAAAGCAAAGCTAGCATTTCACCGGTATATACTGAAACTCCATCACTAATCCTTTTTCCAACATTAATATGAAACTGTGGTATAATAAATGCTATCCCTACCCTATTAGCAGTATTTTTTGATGCATCTGTATATATTTGTATATAATTATAATAGTTATTTAAGTGTTCTTGTACTATATATTTATTCATAATATGAAATTTATCTTTTTCCTTCTTTTCTAATAATGAGAGATCAACTTTAGCATCAGGAAGTATCCAAGGTGGAATTGCTGTTATTGGAACTGTCTGACATATATCTAACTGATTTAAATTAATTTCATTAACTTTAGTGTTTATTACCCATCCAAAGCTCTTTAATTGTTTCTTTTCCTTTTCCCATCCAGGTTTAAGCACCTCTAATGTTGGACGATCCTTCCTTTGTCCCTGTAAATTTGACCAGTAGGTTAAAGATAATTGATCTCTTCTAACTTTAAGTGGCATTTCTCCCATTTCAACCTGTAATGCTGCTGTTGAAGAAGTTCTAAAAGCGCCAGTACATATTCTTAAAGCCTGATGTTGAAGGCTATTTAACTTATGGAGGTTTGTATCTGCTGCTGAGTTATAAACTATACATCCATAATCAAGGACAGACCTGATTAACCCAGTATAAATAGCTTTTAATGATTTTCTATCAGCTCCCCACTCTGTTCCAACTAAACACCTCATTATATTTATTACCTTCCTACATTTATCGATTATATTCTTAATGTGCACACCCCATGTCAATCTTTCAAACCACATTCCAAGAAATTTAAAATGTTTAATTCTTTCCAAATCTTGATCATATAATTTTAAGTTAGTTTTTTCATCAACTCTTTTCCTTGTAAAAAACATTATTTTAGTTTTCTCTACTGAGAATTTAAAACCCCATTTATATGACCATTTTTCTACAACTGAAATTGCTTCCTGAAGTTTCTTTACAATAAATTCAAAATTTCTTCCTCTTTTCCACATTGCTCCATCATCTGCAAATAATGAGAATCCCATTCCACCCTCTATTTCTTTAAACATATCATTAACTATCACTGAAAATAATAACGGAATTACTATACTTCCCTGTGGTGTTCCATTTTCAATTTTCCAACTCTCAGAATAATCCTCCCCTATCCTCACTTGTATTCGTCGATCTTCTAGAAAATTTTTAATCCATCGAAACATATGACCATTTATACCCATTCTTCTAATTTTAATTAATAACCCTTCCCTCCACATCATGTCATATGCTCTCTCAATGTCAAAAAATACTGCCACAACACTTTCTTTATTCACCTGTGCCTTTCTAATTTCATGCTCTAAACACAAAACTGGATCCATTGTACCTCTACCTCTTCTAAAACCACTATGATAAGATGATATAAGTCCCTTCTTTTCAATATAATATATTAATCTTTCATTTATCATTCTCTCCATTATTTTACATAAGTTGGATGTTAACGCTATTGGCCGATAATTTCCTGGTTTTGATTCATCTTTCCCTGGTTTTCTGATTGGAACAATCACGGCCTCCTTCCAACTCTTTGGCAATTCCCCATCTTCCCATATCCTATTATACATTTCTAATAAAATATTTTTAGAAGATTCACTTAAGTTGCTAATCATAACATAATAAATTTGATCTTTTCCTGGAGCTGATAATTTATATTTTTTAAAAGCCCTATTCAGTTCTGTTATTGTAAACAACATGTTCAACGGTTCATTTGTATCTTCTATTTGCTGTAATAAATACTTGTTCTCCAAAATAGTCTTTTCTCTCCCTTTTTTCCCTTCTTGACTAATATTTTCAGAACTATGAATTTTAACAAAGGTATTTACCAACATTTTTGCCTTTTCTCTGTCAGTAACTGCTGTTATTTCTCCTTCATTTAATATTGGATATCCACTCGTTCTTTTAATCCCATTCATCCTTTTAATTGTTGCCCACACCTTAGAAATATCTGTCTCCCTCCCTACTGAATTACAGAAACTCCTCCAATAATCTCTTTTTGCATTTTTAATAATTCTTCTTACATTTGCTTGTAATTTCTTGTAGTTAGTCAGATTCTGAAAATTGTGATTTCTTTTTAATAATTTGAAAGCTTTATTTCGTTTCTTGATAATCTCCTTACATTCTGATGTCCACCAGGGCACCAACCTTCTTTCCCTTCCCCCACCTTTCTTCCTTATAGCCTGATTAGCAGCTTCTAAGATAGCATTACATATAGAAACATTTATTTCATCAATACTACCACTCATATCCACTTTTAACATTTTCATTTCACTACTATTCCTAAAGGTTTTCCAATCTGTTGACCTAAAACACCATTTCTTTATCCCTTTTATACAATACTTTTCTATATTTAACTTTATTTCAATCAAAATAGGATAATGATCACTTCCTATAGTTGTTTTATTGATTACTTGCCATAAACAAACACCTGCTATAGAATTTGAAACTAATGTTAAATCAATTGCTGACTCTGTATTATCTCTAAAATTGATTCTGGTTCCACTTCCATCATTTAGACATACCAAATTTTTAACATCCATTATTTCTTCTATTATATCCCCATTTTGGTCATTATGATTACCCCATAATGTATTATGTACATTAAAGTCCCCACACCATATAACCTTACCCTCTAAATATACCCCAAGTTCCTCCATTAAATCTATTGAAAGTCTTTTACATGGATTATAGAAGTTGATTATTTTAAATGGCCCATTTACTGTCCAAATTTCCGTAACGATGTATTCTAAATCTTTACCTTTAGCCAGTAATCTAAATTGAATTCCCTGTTTTATGAATGTTATACACCCTCCTCCAGATCCTCCCTCTCTGTCTCTTCTTATGCTTTCATATCCTTTTATAACAAAATCAAGATTTATTTTAAGCCAAGTTTCCTGAATACATATAATATCTAGATCTTCTTTAAATTCTTTAACAAATCCTTTAAACTCTTGTCCGTTTGCAATAAGGCTTCTAGCGTTCCATTGTAAGATGTTCAGATTTTGTCTTCCTGTCCTCCTGCCTTTCCTTCTGCCCCAAGTCTCTTATTTATGTGTTCCCAGGATATGTCCTTTTTACCAAAAAACCTCTCTGCCCCTTTCACAATTATTTTGATTTTTTCTGTTTTTTGTTTAACTTGATCCGTACAATTTATGACATACAGGTGCTGGTCATAAAATTAGAATATCATGAAAAAGTAGATTGATTTCAGTAATTCCATTTAAAAAGTGAAACTTGTATATTATATTCATACATTACATACAAACTCATATATTTCAGATGTTTATTTTGTTTAATTTTGATGATTACAAATGACAACAAATGAAAATCTCAAATTCATCATATCAGAAAATTAGAATATTACTGAAGACCAATAAAAACAAAGGATTTATAGAAATGTTGGCCAACTGAAAAGTATGAACATGAAAAGTATGAGCATGTACAGCACTCAGTATTTAGTTGGGCCTCCTTTGGCCTGTATTACTGCAGCAATGCGGCCTGGCATGGAGTCGATCAGTCTGTGGCACTGCTCAGGTGCTATGATAGCCCAGGTTGCTCTAATAGTGGCTTTTAGCTCTTCTGAATTGTTGGGTCTGGTGTATTGCATCTTCTTCTTCACAATACCCCATAGATTTTCTATGGGGTTAAGGTCAGGAGAGTTTGCTGGCCAATTAAGAACAGGGATACCATGGTCCTTCAACCAGGTACTGGTAGCTTTGGCACTGTGTGCAGGTGCCAAGTCCTGTTGGAAAATGAAATCTGCATCTCCAAAAAGTTGGTCAGCTGCAGGAAGCATGAAGTGCTCTAAAACTTCCTGGTATGTGGCTGCGTTGACCCTGGACCTCAGAAAACACAATGGACCAACACCAGCAGATGACATGGCACCCCAAACCATCACTGACTGTGGAAACTTTACACTGGACTTCAAGCAACGTGGATGAAGTGCCTCTCTTCTTTTCCTCCAGACTCTGGGACCTTGATTTCCAAAGGAAATGCAAAATTTACTTTCATCAGAGAACATGACTTTGGACCACTCACCAGCAGTCCAGTCCTGTTTCTCTTTAGCCCAGGCAAGACGCTTCTGACGCTGTCTGTGGTTCAAGAGTGGCTTGACACAAGGAATGCGACAGCAGAAACCCATGTCTTTCATACGTCTGTGTGTGGTGGTTCTTGAAGCACTCACTCCAGCTGCAGTCCACTCTTTGTGAATCTCCCCCACATTTTTGAATGGGTTTTGTTTCACAATCCTCTCCAGGGTGCGGTTATCTCTCTTGCTTGTACACTTTTTTCGACCACATCTTTTCCTTCCCTTCGCCTCTCTATTAATGTGCTTGGACACTGAGCTCTGTGAACAGCCAGCCTCTTTAGCGATGACCTTTTGTGTCTTGCCCTCCTTGTGCAAGGTGTCGATGGTCGTCTTTTGGACAACTGTCAAGTCAGCAGTCTTCCCCATGATTGTGTAGCCTATAGAACTAGACTGAAAGACCATTTAAAGGCTTTTGCAGGTGGTTTGAGTTAATTAGCTGATTAGAGTGTGGCACCAGGGGCCATCAATTTTGAACCTTTTCACAATATTCTAATTTTCTGATATGATGAATTTGAGATTTTCATTTGTTGTCATTTGTAATCATCAAAATTAAACAAAATAAACATCTGAAATATATGAGTTTGTATGTAATGTATGAATATAATATACAAGTTTCACTTTTTAAATGGAATTACTGAAATCAATCAACTTTTTCATGATATTCTAATTTTATGACCAGCACCTGTATGCAATGAACAGCAGAATATTTTCAATTGTTAGCACATTTTCCAGACCGTGCCTGTTTTGGATTCTCTTCTTCTTTTCTATCATGGCGGATCGCAAGCAACTTTAAGGTGCATACCGCCACCTACTGTTCATGAGTGTGTAGCAACATTGTTTTACATCTATTGAATTCTATTTTTTATTTTTGTATTCTGAAGATAAAAAAATAATGCTTTCATTAATCTATAAAAATATCCTTTATATTTCCTTTATTTCCCAATAATCCTTTAAGACTCCATTCTTGGCCTGTCCTTTCAGTTCATCTTTTCTATCTTTCCACATCCTTCACATTTATCATTATTTTTCCTCTCTATTAAATATAAATTGTCATTTAAATAAGTATGACCTACTCTTAATCTGATCATTATTATTTCTTTACTTCGGTTTTGTAATTTATATAATCTTCTTCCTTTTTTATCTTCATTCCACCTTTTTTGCCATTTTTCAATTTCTTTCCTCTTAATAAATTATATTCCTTCCCCTTTCCCCAAAGGAATTGTAATTGTTATTGCCTCCTCTAAAGCCCTTTTTGCTAATTTGTCTGCCTTTTCATTTTTCTTTTTTTTCTTTTTTTTTTTGGATTCTCTTCCGGGTTTACTGACGTCATGGCGGAGTAGTCTGCGCACGCAACAGCCGCCAAAATTAAAAACAAAAACATGGAGGGGGCTTCGTCGAGAGGTAGCTAAGCTAACTGGCCGGTTGTGTTTAGTCTCTTTTTAATCGTTGTTTTTCCCAATTGAGTGTTTTGTTAAACTGTTTTATTTGTAGGTGTTTTGAGTCACCTCAGTCTGCTGGAAGCTCAGACCAGGAGCCGCCAGGCCCCCCAGCAGCCGAGCCGCGTGAAGGAGCTAAAGGCTAAGGTAGCATCGCTGAGCGCCCAGAGAGACCAGCTGAAGGCAGAGATACAGGCACACCAGGTGGAGATAAGTTCCCCTAAAAAAAAAAATCATATTTAAATAAAACATGCTGCATTTAAAGTAATAAAGCAAATAGTGGGTCAATTATAAGAAACAGCCATATATATACAAATGCCACCTAAAGATGGTCAGTGTGTGTAAAGTGTGTAAAATGAGAACTATTTAACATGAACTACATATTAAAAATTGTCTGAGCTAAATGCTAAAACTGTACTGTGAGAGCTACAGCAGCAAACACCGCATTCTCCATGACATCAAACCGGATTGATTTCTCTCTATTCTTTGATCTATATATGATTCCTTGCAATAAAGACATTTCAATCATGAAAGGATGCTAATAACACATTTTAAGTTATGAAATAAATAAATAAACAAATAATCCCTTATATTAGTAATATTTGATTAATTGATTGATTGTCATATATGACAGCAGGAGTATTATGCAGGGTTAGTGCACAGGGTATTTACATGCATATTTATATAAATAGGTATTTATCTATATAACTTGCACTCAATTCATTTTATTTCTATAGCGCCAATTCACAACACAAGTCATCTCAAGGCACTTTCCAGTTCAACCAGATCATCCAGTCAGATTGATTCAAAGTTTTCTATCTAAGGAAAACCAGCTGATTGCATCGACTCATTGACTCTTCAGCAATCCCTCACACTAAGCATGCTTGTAGCGACAGTGGAGAGGAAAAACTCCCTTTGAACAGGAAGAAACCTCCAGCAGAACCAGGCTCAGTGTGAGCGGCCATCTGCTGAGGCCCACTGGGGTTCAAGGAGACAGAAGCACTCAGTATCAAATATTAAGAAAAAGGTTATTGCACAGGATATTAAATTGTGACTCCACATTGTACATAGCACATGTAATTGCTGTTGTAGTGTCGCATTGTAGATTCTGATGGCAGCAGAGATATATGACCTGCAGTAGTGCTTCGTTTTACAAGCTACTTGTATTTTTTTCATGTATTTTTTCTTTTTTACTGTTAAATGGCCACTTATGTTGGCTAATATACAGAATATTAAATAAATGATCATTATCTCCACTAGCGCTGAATCAATTAATTGGATTAATTGAGTATTTAAATGATCATCAAATAATTCAGTAATAAATTAATCGTTAACTGGAGTATGTATAAAGATAAAACAAGTTTTTTTTTCTTCTTTAAGGATCTTTTGGCTATACAATTATTAATCAATTAATCGGAAAAATACTCGGCAGATTAATCGATTGGCAATATAGTCATTGGTTGCAGCCCTAATCTCCACATAAACTATCAACAGATTCACAATAATATAATAATATTATAATATAGGTCTCAGGAGATGGTCAGGGTATGAAGGACTGAGGACTTTCTATGCGTTTGTCATAGTTTTCCTCAGCCAGGGATTTGCTTCTTCTCACTCTTATCTGTATTTATTATGAAACCTGAAGCAAAAATCAAAGTCTAAACCCTCTGATTATTGACCTTAAAGAGTAAAAAATGTTCTGTGTACATTTACCTCCCCCTGTCAGCATCTCCAGAAACTGGGGCCTGCTGTGGACAAACGGCAAACAAATGGAGAAGAGGAGGAAATTGAAGTAGACTTTGAAAGCTCTGAGTTGTTACGTCTGATGGCCAGACACTCTGAGCTGTCGGATCTTCTTCATGCTCATCAGCTTATTGGTAAAAACACTAGCTAAGATAGATTTTTTTTCTTTTGGCTTTCATTTCTAATTGCTGTTTTTATTTGTGATTCCCATTTTTTGATGTTGTATTCTGATTTCACCAGGCGGATATAACGCTGTTAAAACCCGAAAAGGTCAAGGCATGTGCTTCACTCTCACAACTGTGTACGATGGTGTGTATTTGAGCTCCTACAACCTGGAGATTGATGTGAAGCCTAGAGTGAGGATCAGTCGCCATAACATCCCCCCCTTCATTCCTCTGGATGACCTCGCCATGAAGAGCAACTTGCAGACAAACATCAGGGCTTTTCTGGACACGGTCAGCCAGCATCTCAATGCGTACGAAGGCCGCAAGCAGCAGCTGAATCTTGTTAAGGTGCCACAAGTTTTGTTTTTCGTCTTTAATTCGACCATTTTAGAGTAAAAAACAGGTTAAGAATATGAATGGATGAAATAATATTGTCCTGAAACCTTGAACCATCATTATTTTTATTGCGCTTTACTCTAATAAATCCTTAATATTGTCGTACAGAATAGTAGAGAGCAAAAGTCGCTGCATAAACTGGTATTAAATGACGCTGGATAATTCTTTTAATAATTATCCAGCATCATTGCAAAACTTTTACCAATTTAAGATTCAAAAGTCTCTTTGGAAATCTCTTAAGTCCCTCAGTAGGTTTGTTTTTTGTGTTGAATTAAGTACTGGGCTTAATGGGACATTCCAGAACTTAACTTTTCTTTCAATAACACCTTTTTTCCTGGTGATTCAGATGTTTTATTTGTATGGAAGCCCGTTTCCGCCACTCTGTAAAAACAAAGATAAAAAAATAATCTCATTATAATGAGATAGCATCTCAATATATTGAGTTACTATCTCATTATAATTTAAAACACAGGCAGAGACGATATAGCCGATTTATTAAATGACGTGAATAGTTTTTATTTATCATGCAATAAATTGATTTATTAATTATCGCGACAGGCCTAAACATCAGGTCCTGTTAAGACGGGCCCATAACGACTCCTCATTATTAAGGGTGTTGTGGATTTAGCTGAAACATCCAATCTTGCTGAAAAAGACGACTGTAGATTCGATTTCCTTATATATAACTTTAATTCTGAACTGCGGCAACTTCCAGCATTTACATAGAGCTACATCTTCTAGAAAAATCACTGACTTCTTCGCTGGTCAGGAATCACACAGTGGAGAAACACTTAAATGACCAAACATTACAATCTTAACCCAAATTGTATTTAGTTTTCATTCTATTTAGTAAACATATAAACAATATGACTTAACCATATTATAACAATATTCAACAAAGGGGTGGACCTGTTTTCGGTTCAATGGGCATGGCTTCTAAGCCATAAGAAAGCTTTTGATCGGTCAAATCTATAAAGCCTGGAGCTCAACGCTACTTCAGACATTTTAAATTGAGAAAGCTTTTCTGGATGGGAAGCAAAACGTCTTCAAACTTGGAAAACAAAGTCCAGTGGTTTGTTTTTACTAGGGATGCACGATATAATCGGCCCCCTATCGGTATCTGCCTTAAATCTGAATATCGGACATCGGCCACCCCACCGATATTTAACCCGATATTTGATCAGCTTCTGAGTTTCTAAAGTCAAAAAAATAAATACTACTTCTCTTCCTCAAAAACTTCTTTTTTACAGACTTAAAAACTTCTAAAGACGAGGGAAAAAATATTGATCCATTAAAATATCCCAATATCTTCATATGCTGATATATTGCCATTTAAAAACACCATATCAATCTCTTTTACTAATGAAAGATTGCTATATGTCATCGTTATGCTAAGAAATCGCCCGGAAATTCACGAAATTTTGCCATATTTTTATATGTTGATATATTGACGCGGTATCGACCTATTTTACTAACAAAATTTCACAAGAATTTGCAAAATATGACGAGAGTTTGTAACAGAACGATGAAATTTCATGAGATTTTGGAAGTAAAATAGATCGATACCGCGTTTTTAAAATCAATTTGATATCATTCAGCATATGAAAATATATTTGAGTATATTATTTTTCAAAGTGTCAGAAATGGATAACAAAACTGCTATTTTCAATGACTACTTATTTTTGTCCAGCTTTAACATCGGTATCGATATCGGTTATCGGCTACATGAGTTTTAAAATATCGGATATCGGCCAAAATCCCAATATCGTGCATCCCTAGTTTTTACCTTTTTATTTATTTATTATTATTTTTTTTTTTTTTATTGCTTCCAGGTTGTTCCTAACCTACCAAGCACAGGCGGTGATCTCCTCTTGCATTTCTCCAATCACCTGGAGCTTCTAACAGAACATAGTATTTATGAAAACCAAAAATACAACATCACAATAATTCTAGTAGGTTTAACAATTTTTCTACCTTAAAAATAAGTTATATGTATAAATCTTGCATAAAAACATTGAACATAGTTCATTGTTATAGAATAACATTCCTCCTTAAAACTTATTGGGAGAATATTTTAGTGAGATTTGGATGTTTCTCAGGATAAAAGGCTTCCAACTATTATGAATACCTGCATTTACTGTATTATAGTTGTTGGTCTGCTTGCAGCCTAACTGACCACTTTCTGTTTGGTTCCCATTCATAAAAAAAAAACAAAAAAAACATACTTTTCTTATCCCATTATTGTCCTTTATTTCTCCTCTTCCTTTCTGACGTTTCTTTAAACTACAGCTCCTTAAATGATGCTCTCATCAGGGAAACCCTACTCTGGTTGAACTTTATTTCAGCTTATTCTGATTTACTGTGAATCAAAATATTTGCTCGGGTTATTGAAGAGTCATTCATCTGTATTTTATTGTTTGGTTTTTTTTAAATCTTACCTTCCATCAGTTTTGTTTTGGTGAAATCTTAAACTCTTCTGTTTCAGAAGCAGCATACGTATGCGGAGGTGATGGAGAGTAACCTGTTGTGCTCTATACTGGTGCTGATGTTCACCGTGCCCCCAAAGAAGACATCCTTGCTTTGCACGTTGGAGTACAACGACCTCACCAGATGTCTTCCCACACGAGTCCAGTTAGACTGCGAAAGTACGGTTATTTTACACACTTAACCTGCTTCACACGTTTCAAATATTCTTTTTCAAAAAAGAACCTATAACAATACATATACTGTTAACATATGTACCCACCGTCACATAGAATTTAAATGCACACAAAGTTTGTAGATATTAGGTTTTAGCAGTTATGGTTTTATAGAAATAAAAAAGGATAGATTTCATGATAGCGCTTTCTAGCTTGTTTGTTGTTTTGATAACTACATCAAAATTACCGCTAGGTGGACAAAAATCACACCATCTGGCGGAAAATCTCCCGGCTCTTTCAAATCACGCGAGAATGTGTACAAAACAACAAAAATTGCGCCGGCGATGCTTCTGGGTCGTTTTCATCGAATGTCAGTGATTTTAATTTTGAGTGATAATTTTTTTTGCGATCATTGCACTTGCCCGTTCCACCCCTAATATATATATATATTAGGGGTGGAACAGTTCACAAAATCCACAGTTCGGTTCATGGTTTCGTGGTCACGGTTTTCAGTTCGGTATATGTTGATTGTTACACCGAAATCCCATAAAAATGAATGAAATTAATGAAAAAATCCCAAAAAATTAATTAATTGTAATTATTTTTAATGATCTGCGGAAACCATGGATCATTTCCGTATGTTTTGCTGCTTTGTATTTAATCATCTGGCGCATGCTCTCTACCATCTCCAAGGAACTCAGAGCGGAGCGGACGGGAGCCACAGTGGAGGCTGTAGGCTTTGCTTTGAGCAGGCGGTCAAAACGAAACAAAAACATGTTGCACAATGCTTGCACACTGTTGCACTTTTATCCACAACTTTCTTCCCGCCGTCATCGTAGGTCACTCTAAATGCAAAGTGGTCCCATACAGCAGACCTATAAAGTGCTGCTGGCGCGTCTTCCAACTCCTGTTCTTTCCCACTCGCCATACCCACACAATTCTCCACAACAACTGAGTTTTTTCTGCTACACCCGGCTACGCTGCTTCGCTTCTTCTTCTTCTTGTTTACTACTGGTTGTTGGCTTTGGTCGCAGTACCGCCACCTTCTGCTCTGGAGTGTAATCGTTTTGCCTATGAGAAAAAGGAGCAGCGCATGAACCGAACGAAACACACGCGAATCGAACCGAGACAGTCGAACCGAACGGTTCGGACGTTTTTCATAAACCGTTCCATCCCTAATATATATATATATATATATATATATATATATATATATATATATATATATATATATATATATATATATATATATATATATAGTTGAAATCTATCCTTTTTTATCTCTGAATAAGGACTTAACAATAGGAAAGTTGCCATGTTTTAACCCTCCATTTGGCCAGAACTACTAGCGAATGCTAACAATACATTTCCATGTATCAAGTCTTTTTTTTTTTTTTTTTTATGCAAAATCGACCTGGAGGTTGTTTTTTTTAGTTTTTACAGCACTAATTTATGGACAGTAGGCTGACAAGAAAGGGGGTATGAGAGGGGGAGAGACATGCGGGGAAGGACCAACATACGGGATCATGTTATTATTCAGAGAATAGGCAACAACAATAGCTGAGAGAAAAACTGACCCATTTATTATCAACCAACTGGTAGTTTAATATTCCCAGCAGCGAGTGTTTCTATCAGCAGAGATCTGATCTTCTACATTCATTCTTTGGCTGATTTCAGACTGATTTCCAATATCTATATCAGATTGGGACATTGCTAGTTATAACTAATGCTGAACAAATTCAAGTTTCAAGATAAATCATTTACATTTATTTCTAATGGGTTGTAGGAAGGACTCATTGGTCAGTGGTAGTTTTATAAAAAACAATGTGTTGTTTTTTTATTTAAGATTTTTTTTTCTTTTTCCAGGATAATATAATGTGGATTTTAATGTTGATTTTATGTCTTTATGCTCCAGTTTAATTTCGTATGCATATATTGTCTCATGTTTTGGTCTATCAGTATCTGTGCCTGACATCTGTGCTTCGGCTTCGAATTAAATTAACTTTCTGTAAATATTTTTGTTGTTTCTGCAGACCAGCAGCTTCCTGAATCTTTGCCCTGGAAGAAAAACTGCAGCTTACTGATGGAGGTTCCTTTGCACGCAGCTTTAACAGCCATGAAGAAATCAAAGAATATTGTTTAATTTATTTTCCAGTTAGTGGAATTTAACTTTTGCTGTAAATACTAAATAATTTTGTCAGAAGGGTTGAAATTTTTCCATACTGCCTCTGGTTGTTTCTCTCTTGAGCAACATGCCGCTATGGATGGAGCTGTCACACTGGGGTTTTCCCATCAGCACCTCTGCAATTTTTTTTTGTTCCATCATCAACAATTTAAATAATTGTATTTAATGTATATTTCCTAATCTTTTGTTATTGTTAAATAATAAATTCTGATTTCTTACCTGATTGTGTGCAGTGTTAAAGAAACAATGGTTCAGGCGAATGTCTTGCTAATAAGAATCAGAAATACTTTAATAATCCCAGAGGGATTAGGTTGCCAACATGATTGACAACAGGATATTTTAAGTGGTCATTTGTTGTAATTGTTAGCTTATGCATTTCATAATTACTAGAGTGATGAGGTTGCTGTTCATTTTACTAGTTCCCTTTGATCTGAGGTTATTGGAAGAAAGCTGCGTGCTTCCTGGACCGGTCTGCAGAGCAACACAGAGAAGCAGTCGGACACAAGAACAAGTTAGAGGTCAATTAATCTAACCTGCTTGCATTTGGATGGTGGGAAGAAGCGAAGAACACGTAAACAAATCGGAGAAAAGATCTGAGCAGATTGGAGGCAAGGAAAGGAGTTCAACAAAAGTATTAAAATTATTTTTTTAAACTTTTATTTCTGTAAAATCTTGAATACAACAACAGAAAATGTGTTATTTGCAATACAATGTCCTTAAAATAAAGATATTGCCCCAAAAAATATGGGCAATGTTGACTCTTAAATGAATTAAAATGTTTAAACACTTGAGTATTTCGTTACAGTCTAAAAACTATAAATTCAGAGCTCCTAGTTCACTCTGCATTTTGTCAGCAAATGTAAACATTGATAAATATTATCTGACTGAATTGTATTTCAATGTGCATATAGGAAATATTTGAGTATTTGGAAAGTCAGTCATTCTAGTGGTTATTCTGATTCTGAATTTAATTCTAACTTTATTCTCGCTATCGAGGTAATCAGAAGAGAAGTTCCAATCTGATCAATTTAAATGCATTTTCAATCCTTGTTGAAGTGGAGTCCCCACTGCAGTTATATGGATTAAGTAGGTTGGAATTTCTTAAAAGCTTATAACCTAAATGATTATTGAAAAACTCAGTGGAGAGAAAAAGTTTAGAAAAAGGAGCAACATGGAGCTGCAGCTTTCAGAAGGTCACCAAGGAAAACTCATTCAGGAGTGGGAGCTTAAAAGAAGCGGACTGGAGTCAGTGCATCAAGAACACACAGACTAATCCAAAACACCCTGAACCAGACATCAGATGCACACATGCTAAACCAATCCATTGATCTCTGAATAGTGCCATCAGCATGGAAGGTAGCCAGAGTTACTCCAGCATTTACTACAGAAAAAACTTAACAGGAGACCTATTGTCCTATAAGTATTCTGCCAATAATCTCAAAAATGACAGAGAAATGTTGTTGCACAGCTAGTAGAATATCTAAATAATGTTTCAAAGGCTCTTTAATCCAATGCAGTTTGGTTTTAGGAAGTATCAATCCACAGAGAAAGGAAAGGAAGTAACAAGTACTTCCTAGAAAATCTAAAACAACAGCTGGACAAAGGCGGCTTTGTGGATGCTGTATTTCTAGATTTGAAATGTGCTTTAGATGCAATCAACTATAATGTTCTGCTGGCAAACTCAGTTTAATTTCTCTAGAAGTGACCTCTGCTGGATTAAATATGTAATTCACAGTCCACTTTCCTCACTTGTTCTGCGGGAGTCCCACAGGGATTAATACTCGGACCAATTCTATTCAGCCTTTATAGCAATGATTTATCTTATATCTGTAAAACTGTTAAAATGCAATTGTATGCTGATGACACTGTACTATGTGTTCACTGGATGCAAAAACGTGAAACTGCTGCTGTTCTCTCCAGCGCTATGTTAGCAGTGTCAGAGTGACTCCAGGACTCCTACCTACATCTTAACATTGGAAAAACAGTCTGTATGTTTTTCTCCCGACACCCAGTAAAGCAGGGGTCTCAGAACTGCGGACGATAGTTTGTGTCCCCCGGGTAAATTGAGTTTGAGACCCCTGCAGTAAAGGGTGATGACCCATCTGTGTTTGTCAATGGAGAGAGATTAGACGTAGTTAAATATCTTGGAGTGGTCTTTGATTCTAATATAAATTTCAAGCAGCATGTAAAGACAATCTCAATTATAATTATGTTTAATCTGTCAAGCTTTAAAATATAGGATCCTCTCTGACCTTTGAATCAGCAAAAACCTATATGCATGCCATGATATTTAGGCATATAAACTACTGCCATATCACATGATCTGACACTTCAGAGGCCATTCTGAAACCCCCACAGCCTCTCTTCAAGAAAAAAAGGAAAAACTTGACTAAAAGCCCTTTACGTTATCATTATTGTAACATTTTAAGTATCATAGAAGATATTTGTTTATTGATTTTTGATTTTTTTATTAATAAACATTGCGTTTCTTTTCATTTAAACTAGTCTATCCTTTTGGGTAATGAGGGCAACCAGATTGTACGGAAGAGGATTAGGGCCACTGAAAAAAGTCAGAATTCTGAGAAAAAAGTGTTAGAATTCTTAGATTAAAGTCGGTTTTCTGAGATTATAGTCAGAATTCTGAGATTTAATTCAGAATTCTGAGAGAAAAAGTCAAGAGTTCTGAGATTATAGTCAGAATTCTGAGATTAAAGGCAGGGACGGGGAGCGTTGGGCCAGTGTGTTGTCTTGTATGCGTGAGTGTGGATGAGTTGTTTGTCTTGTCTTTGTCTTTTCGTTTGCAGGAGTGTCCTTGGGATGAGTAGGAGGGGATTGGACATGTATAAGCTTTTGCTTCTTCCATCCCCTTTTCAAGCCATGCATGTATTGTTTGTCATTATATGTATTGTAAAATGTATGCAGGTTTGAAATAAACTTTTTGAAATGAAATGAATTCTATTCTGAGATTAGAGTCAGAATTTTGAGAAAATGTCAGAATTCAGAGATTAAAGCCAGATTTCTGAGATTATAGTCAGAATTCTGAGATTAAAGTCAGAATTCTGAGAGAAAAAGTCAAGAGTTCTGAGATTATAGTCAGAATTCTGAGAAAAAAGTCAGAATTCTGAGATTAAGGTCAGAATTCTGAGATAATAGTCAGATTTTTTAGATTACAGTCAGAATTCTGAGAATAAAGTCAGAATTTTGAGAAAATGTCAGAATTCAGAGATTAAAGCCAGAATTCTGAGATTAGAGTCAGAATTCTGACCTTTTTCCCATATTAAACTGCAATATTTAAAAATCCGTATTTTTTTTTTTTTTCCAGTGGCCCTAATCCCCTTCCGTAGGATTGGGTTGAAATGCGCTGTTTTTTTTTTATGTCCTTGTGGTTAGTAATAAATCCTGCCCCCACTGGAAGCGGTTCCCTGGAGTCTACTTAAGAAATGGAGCAACCAAACTTCCCTGAAAAGGTTTTTTAGAGCTGATCTACTTTGAACGTCGCTATTAGGTGAGTTTATAGTCACTTTATTCTTTGTCTTAATGCCGAAATAACCTGTTTCTGATCTATAATTTTAGAACTATCTGTTTAATTCTCATTTTCACACCTTTAATTGCATTAGTAACACAAGTTACAAAATCACTAATTAGTTGAATCGCTTTTAATCAATGAAAAAGTAAACTAAACCGTCCAGCTGTCTGCGCATGCGCACTCCGCCCTAACCTGTAGTAACTCTGTATTCATAACGTTACTTCATATAAACGATATCCCGGTTTCTCTTCTGCTTTCCCAGCTCTGTTCCTTCTGCTCTCATCTCTTTCTTCTGCTAAAAAGTTTTGTTATTCGTAAAAGTGTGTTTTCCACTATTTAATATGCTCTCTACGGGAAGCCGAAGCAGCCAAAATACATATTTATGAGTTTTGCGCTTTCTAAAGGTTAATACTTACTCCTTAGACTGCTTTAACTTGCTGCCATTTAGATTATTTTCATTCTTAATTAAGCTTGTTTAGTTTCTTTTCTTTTATAAACAATTTGATTAGATGTAATTTATGATATCTATTTGTTTTATCTCTGTTTTCTTTGTCAATTATTACTTCTATCACGTCATATTAGCCACCCTGAGATTATCAAATGTTTCAAATCCTTCAAACTGGAGTATTTTTACTAAGAAAAACCTACAACACAGTGAGTCTATGAAAATCTGTGAAAAATATATTTAAAAATACTCATCCAGGAATATATCTAAATTCTTAAAGTGGAATTAAAAGACTGAAATGTGTGTGTGATTTGTAGACCCGGTACAGGAGTTGCTCAAGCTTTGCAAAGATGATGCAGGCAGTTTGCGTTGATGTCCCAGGAGGACCAGAGAATCTGGTGCTGCGGTCCATCCCAAGACCTGAACCTAAAGATGGAGAGGTCCTGATAAAAGTCCATGCAGCTGCCCTCAACAGAGCAGACTTATTACAGGTGCAACAAAATTAGATGCGCGTCTAAAAAGACTCATCTGGCTTACATATGAATCTAACTTACTGTATGTTCTCTTCTGTAGAGAAGAGGTTTGTATCCTCCTCCTGCAGGTGAAAGTGATATCATAGGTCTGGAGGTAGCTGGAACTGTGGACACTCTGGGTCAGAGACTAAAGCGGAACTGGAAACCAGACGACAGGGTGATGGCTTTGCTGTGCGGAGGAGGATATGCTGAGTATGTTTCTGTATCCGAGGAGCTGTTAATGCCTGTTCCCAACAACCTCACGTTCTGCCAGGCTGCTGCCGTCCCAGAGGCTTGGCTCACTGCTTTCCAGCTGCTGGTCTTTATAGGTAAACAAATTATTGAAATCCTAAACAGGACACTGACCATATATCTGATAAATGAATAAAGTTGAAAGTCATACAGAGTAATGTAAAATAGGCCTACAGATAAACCATTACACCTTATGAGATGATTAGAATTATTTTTCTTGAAGTCTATTACCACCACAAACATCAATATGTTTATGTACAATATTAACACATATTGATGTACATTTTTTAAATAGATGGGAAATGAAATATAGTTTTCATACCTTTTTTATCAAATAAAATTTTACAAAACTGTGGTGAGCCTTTATATTCAGTTTTCTGCCACTGCAAAAAAAAAAGAAACCTAAATAAGTTAATCTTTCTTAAAATAAGTGTTTTGTTTTTTTCTTGAATTCAGATGATAAGTCAGACATTTTGCCAATGGAATAAGAAAATGTACGTATAAAATAATAAAAAAACAACTGCGTTGTCTTACTTCAGGTGCATAATATTGAATTATCTTAATTTAAGGGTAAAAATACTGATTCCATTCACATTTCATCTTATTTACCTGCTCAGATTAGGATTAAAGCAATGATCTCTATTTATTCCCTGGATGGCTGATTGCCCATTGGTAGTACAGGTTGCTGTGAAGCTACCAGCCGCCATATTGGTACTCCCCAGTTAGACTGGTCAGAATGTAAATTCTGATGTTCTCATTTTCAGGGGGACTTAAGACTTTTAAAACAAAGATAAATTCATAACTTCGACACACACTTGGTGCTTTATAGCATAAGTAGATCACTATCATTTAAGGTTAAAAAAATAGGCACATCAATGGATCACATTAATGGACAATAAAGTTTATTTAATCTGAAATTCAAAATATTGATTGAATATTGTTTTTTTGTGTCAGCTAAAGAGCTAAATAGTCTTATACCCCAATTAATTCCAAATTAATTAATTGAATTATTTGATAATTGTTAAAAAAAAGTCCATTAATCACAATTAATTAATTAATCAGTTATAAGTTATTGTAATAAAAAAACAAAAGGACACGTTCTTCACTCCCATTCTCCCCATCTATTGTTTCCACCACAGCGCAGGTAAAAGCAGGTGAAGTTGTGTTAGTTCATGCTGGAGCCAGCGGCGTGGGAACGGCTGCTGTTCAGCTGCTCCGTCTGTTTGGTGCTGTGCCCATCGTGACCGCGGGGAGCCAAGAGAAGCTGCAGATGGCTGAGGAGCTGGGAGCAGCGGCCGGATTCAACTACAAGGAGGAGTGCTTTATGCAGGGAGTTCATAGCTTTTCAGGAGGTAGATGTGCAGCTCTGCAAAGAGCTCTAAAAGTTCATCAAAATTATCATTCACATTTGTTGGAGTTTTACTTGGTCTGTCATGATCTGGCCCTTTTGCTCTCCCTTAATTAGTAATTCCTTTCACCTGTAGTTTTTCCTTCCCTGCCTCAATCATAATTTATTCCTCTCACCTGTTTCCTCTGGTTTATATTCAGTTCAGCCTGAGCATTCAGGGCCAGATCATTACTTGTCTTTCTGTCAGTCTTTCTGTTCAGTTTTATTTGGTTCGTGTCCTGGATCCTAGCAGCCAGTGGAAAGAGGGTTTTAGTGTTTGTCTCGTCTCCTGATCGTCCACTGTTCCTCCCCCACGGAGTCCTCTGGGGTTTTGGCTCATTATGTGGGGAGGTTCAGTTTTTATCCAGTAAGCCTGGCTCCAGGGTGGAGACCAGTTTAAAGTCCTGCTTCAAGTTCCGGTTCCTACGTCCTGTCTCGGCTACCCTCTTCCACTGAGCCTGCCTGTCTGCACCTGATCCTGTCTGCACCTGATCCTGTCTGCTCCTGTGCGTGACCACCTGGTCATGCTTCTGGTCCCAGTCTGACTCTGAACCCTCCTGGGAGCCTGTGGATGCCTGGAAGTCTGGATCCTGCCACCTGTTTCTGTTCCTGCCTGATCTGGATCCCTCACCAGGATCAGCTTCCAGCATGACCTCTGGGACTGCAGCACTGGGGACATTCGTGGTCTGGACTGTTAAACCAGAGTGTCTGAGATTGGGCGGTGCCCCGCCCCCCCGCCTGCAGTGTCCGTGAGCCACAGCTCCGCTTTTGTTTTGTTTTATTTAATAAACGTTTGAACTTTCCTACTGACTGTCTCTCCTTGAATACTGGGTCCATCTGTCCTCGGTTCGTGACATGGTCATTAGTTTGTAGTAATAAGGTCTCTACCACATTTGATGAAACCTTTACTTAGTTTGCATGTGTTACTTTGGCCACTTGTACAACGCATACATGTGTCTGTATGTGTAAACAGTGTGTGATCTTGCAGGAAAAGGAGCAAATGTGATCCTGGACTGCGTTGGTGGGAGTAACTGGGAGAAAAATTTGAGTTCCCTGGCCGTGGATGGCAGATGGGTGCTGTACGGCACCATGGGAGGCAGGACGGTGGAGGGAGACCTGCTGGGAAAGCTGCTGTCCAAGCGAGGTCACCTCCTTTGCAGCCTCCTTCGCTCTCGCAGCCTTCAGGTGAGAATTCACTTTGAAAACCTCTCATCAGCTGTTGCTTCTGGTCTGTGTGTTGTAATGAAACTTATTGTGCAAACGCGACTGTATTGTTCCTCCTGATTTTCCAAAATTTGCCAATTCCAGTTTTACGCTTGACACGGCTCTTGTGTAATAGTCTTTTATTGGGCCTGATTGCTTCTCCATGCCTTCGTTTTCTTCTCAGTATAAAGCAGAGCTGATTCAGGCTTTTGAGGAAAGGGTGTTGCCATATTTCTCAGGGCAGGCTGCCACCCTGAGGCCAGTGATCGACAGCACATTTAAAATGGAGGACGTTGCAGAGGCTCATAGACACATGGAAGCAAACAGAAACATGGGCAAGATTATTATCAATGTGACTCCAAGTGAGGAAAACCTCCACCATTAATACCTACTGATGTGATGCACCTTGAAAGTGTTGATTTCCCTTAACTCAGAAAATGTTTTCTTGTTTTTCATATGGTTGACTCAGTAATAAAATGGTCTGAATGTGATTTTTTTTTTTGATGAGCAGTGTTTTTTCTGTTAAGGATGATTACCCAATATGTATCGTTACAGCAAAAGAAAAAATAATATTTCTTATTGCTTGAAAAAACCCAGTTAAAAATGCTTGATTTATGAAATGGAAAAAGAAATATTAATAAATTCCAAACAGGAAACACTAAATACAGACTGTGGCATGTTTCATTTTAGCTTAATTTGAAGATAAAAGCTGCAACGCTATTGTGGAAAGCTGGGTCTTTGGCATTAACAACCTTAAGGAAAGACATTTAATTTAAAAGGAGCAGATGGAGGAATCTGTGCAGCAGATTCATTCTAGTGAATGAATGTCTATGAAGTCACAATAATCTGTATTAACATTGAAGTACCATAGACAAAGATTCTCTTTGCCACATCATTTATCAAGATAAAAGAAACTATTTTAACAAACCAAACCAATGAGAAAATTCACTATTTAAATATAATAACATAGCTTTGATTAATCTTCATTCTAAGTGTCCACTCTTAGGTCTAATTAGTGGCAGTGATTCAACTAAGCAAATAGGTACGAGCCTCCTATTGTATAATTACTGCATGGGCATTTATCTTTCAGCTGGCAACAAGTTATTTAACCCCAACTGACTTGCTTCTCATTTCCTAAACAACCATGTCGAAAGACACATCCGGTGGTCATAGAAAAGATGTTAGTCTGTTTGAGAAGGGTCAAATCATTGGCCTGCATCAAGCAGAGAAAAACATCTAAAGAGATTGTAGAAACTACAAAAATTGGGTTAAGAACTGTCCAACGCATTATTAAAAACATATATATCTATGTATATGTATATATATATACATATGTATATATATATATATATATATATATATATTATTGCTTTATATATTCTACACTACGATGGTACTTGAACAAAACAATTAATGCATTGATATTTTGTGATTTATTCTGAATAAATAAACCAGATGCAATTTGGGAGAAAACATAGAAAGCTGCTGTGCCTGAGTCTCCTTATACTTAATCTGTCTTTCAGGATATTTTAGATTTGTTACTAAGGTACCGTACTTGGGACCTGTAACACATGTAAATTTACACATGCATACCAACACAAACACATCAGGCCAAAATCCACATTTACACCCTTGTACCCCCCAAAAATCTTAATTAATGAAGACAAACTTTAAAAAACAGCATTTTATTTTGAACATGTCTAGGAAAAAAAACTTTAAAAGAAACTTTAAAGGTATTGTGGAGGATGTTCTTTTTCATCATCAAAATGAGTGGTCCTATAAGCCTATTAAGGGAAATGTTAAGGTCAATTTATTTAATTTTGAAATTTAACTTAAGCATTAGATTAAAAACATTGCAGCCTTCACATACTACTGAAACTCTGTCATTCATTTTTTCTTGTTTCTCAGTAATTTACATTAAATCCGCGGTTCTCAAAGTGTGTGGCGCGACCCACTGGTGGGGAATTGAGACGTGACAGGTGGGGCGCGCCAAGTTCCGGTGTGTGTGTGTGTGACTATAACGTGTGAGAGAAAACTGTCCTTATAGCTGTATGTTGCCGCTTTTTAGACTAATCAAACCCACAAAGTAATCATTACTAGCCTACATGCAGTCTAATTAAAAGAACATTAGATATGAGAAAAATTTCCCCTGGAACTGAAGTGCCAAAATGATGATTGACGTGACGTCGGCATATTATTTGTAACGGAATAAACTTTCGCGCCCCAGTGTTGCCAACTCAGCGACTTTGACGCCATATTTCAGACCCCTCCAGCGACTCTTTTTCAAAAAAGCGACTAGCGACAAATCTAGCGACTTTTGGAGAACATACTCCGTCAGCGCTCCGCCCCGCTGCGCTCCAGACCGCCTACACAAAGCAAAGCCTACAGCCGCCGCTGTCCCCTCCGCTCCGCTCTGAGTTCCTTGGAGATCGTAGAGGGCATGCGCCAGATGAACCAGGGTTTCCGCGGATCATTAAAAATAATTACAATTCATAATTCTTTTTTTAATCAAGCCCTTAATTGGCACTAAAATTAATTAAATATGTTTATCGTTGCATTTATGATTCTTTAATAAAAATGCTTCTAAAAACAATTTTGTCAGATATATTATATCGCTATTAATTTGCGTGGAACTGTTTATAAAGCCGTATGTTCGGAAAGGAAGCTCGAGGCGGAGAAAAAGCTAGAGAATATATATACGTATATATATGTGTGTGTGTGTGTTTTTACATACATACAGGAGTCATGGAACTGTGCTTACAGCTCCATATTTCATGTACACTAATAACTTGTGTACATGGTTCTTGTTGATGGCATTAAAATCATTTCAAATAGCATTAAAATAGCATTAAATTAGAGTCACTCATTCCTGTATGAACCCTGTGAGCGCTTAATTTAGTATGACATATTAAAAAAATCCCACCATCATCCAGCATATGTTCAGTCTCTGCCCAAATATATATATATATATATATATATTTTTTTTTTGTAGATTTTTGTAACAGAGATAAGGATAATTCAAAACTGCTTTTTTTTTTATGAACTTGTTCTCTACAACTCAGCATCTCTTTTCATTCATGTAATAAGAAGTTTCTTTTGAATGGATTTGATTAAACTTTAAGTCCCTCGGTATAAAATAAATATTTTAATGGAGATGAGAAATCTGCTTCCTGGTTGGTGAATAACCAATAGTTTGGATCCAATCATTTAAATAAACGGTGTTATTATTTTTATTTTTTAGATATTTATAAGCAGTGTTGGGCACGTTACTTTGAAAAAGTAATTAGTTATAGTTACTAGTTACTTCTCCCAAAAAGTAACTGAGTTACTAACTGAGTTACTCCACAATAAAAGTAACTAGTTACTAGTAAAAGTAACTATTGCGTTACTTTTGCGTTTCTCACCCCCGTAACCCTCCCCACCCAGCCCCCACCTTCTCGCTGTGTGTTTCCAAAGCCAGCTGAATAGAGCGGACGACAAAGACAAGAACCTGCAGAGAGTTTAGCATTTATTGCAAGTCAATGTAAATGACATCAGGGGGGAACGCCATGTGAAGTTTTTTAACAGGGCGTTCAGATCTGGTGAAATTAATGACTGGGGATGTCTAATTCTGAAATCCTGTGTGTTTGGGTTGTTATAGATACTGCAACATCTATCTATCTATCTATCTATCTATCTATCTATCTATCTATCTATCTATCTATCTATCTATCTATCTATCTATCTATCTATCTATCTATCTATCTATCTATCTATCTATCTATCTATCTATCTATCTATCTAGATGTATACTCTGTGTGTGACATAAAATATGGATTTCCATCCCTGCCACAAAGGCCATCAAATAATGTTTAAAATAAAAAATACAGTAGGTTGAAAAGTCAGAGTATCCATCCATCCATCCATGCATGCATCCATGCATGCATTCATCCATCCATCCATCCATCCATCCATCCATCCATCCATCCATCCATCCATCCATCCATCCATCCATCCATCCATCCATCCATCCATCCATCCATCCATCCATCCAAGCATCCAGATTTCTCCCTTTCTCCATACAGGCTATCATTTCTGGCTGTTGTCAGGTTAATCATTTGATCGTTCACGCTCTCCATAGTTCTCCTGTGGCGCGAGCACAGGGCGACTGTTGCGCGCCTTTAGCGAGCATGCGCGTTTCCTGTCGCTTGCGCTGTGACTCTTGTCGCCTGCGCTGTGCGCAGATGCAGAGGAAACCGTATCTGATGAGGAAACGCAGCTCGACGTAACACCGGTATTTCCATCAGGAAAAAGCTGTTTTGCTGCTGGATTCATCCTCACTCTCCATCTCTCTGTGTGTGCTGTACGTTAACACCCGCCAGCGGAAACACCCACCTACCCAACTGACAGACGGAATCTCACCATACATCAGCCATTCTCATCCTCCCCTCTCTCATGACAAGGCGCGCACCTCTGGATGACCTAAAAAATTATCTCTAATATCTGTTAAACAAAAGTAGCACAAACAATATTTTTTTCTGCACAAATCTGCACTAACGTTGCACTAACCATTCAGTCTATTTGCAGAGTTTTTTGACGTGGGTGGGGTGTCAGCTTCACGCAGCAGCGCACGAGTCCTATCATGAAAAAAGGTTCATAGTGCGACCTGAGTAACGCGCAGTAACGGGGTGTCTGCAATGGTAACTGCATTATAGTTACAGTCAAAGTAATTAGTTAGATTACTCGTTACTAAAACAAGGTAACGGCGTTAGTAACGCCGTTACTTTCAACGCCGTTAGTCCCATCACTGTTTATAAGAATTGTGCTATAATTTCTAGTCACCAATCTGTTGCTACTATATTTTAATTTGACGAACCGGAATTTGTCGAGGTTCTTTTTCCTGTTTGGTGCGATTGCAATTGCGGATCTTGACCTGGCCGGACCGGAGCGGAGCAAAAAATAGCTCGGCTCCGTAATTTGTCGGTGACGGACGGAGAAGACGTACGTGGACGGAGACGTGCGGAGGAGTAGCGGTGGATGTGGAACAGCTCTCATTGATTTCCATGAAAGACAAGCGCTCCGCACGACGTACGTCAGCGGGGCGGAGCGGAGCGGAGCGCTGACGGAGTATGTGGAATCTGGGGGTTACGGGAAAGCACGTATCGTTCCTTTTCTTGTCCTGCTGCCGTGGGGCGCCTCCTCCCTCCCAACCCCGTTCTCCCCCACTATGTGTGCTGTGTGCATTCTTCTTCCCTTTGCCACATCATATCTCTGTGAGATGGGCTTTTCAGCTGCTGCTTCACTGAAAACAAAGCATGACTTGAGAGTGGCAGTATCAAGCCTGCAACCCCGTTTTGAGAAACTGTGCAATGCAAAACAGGCTCATTGAAGCCACTAATGCAGGGATAAATAGACCTGTATTGCCAGATGGATTTCACTTATTTTCTTTTATTAACAGATTGCAGAGTGGCACTTTAATTTTTTCTATCTTTGAGCTTGATACAAATTTTGA